TGCAGGAATGACAATTCCCTTAACCTGCTCCCATGTGGCCTAAACATAAAATGTTCCTTGTTCTGAAATGCCTTCACAAAAATCTAGAAAAAAATGCATTTCAAGCCAAGAGACTTGGGCAGTTTTGTGACAAGAGCTCCCCTAAAGCCTAACCAATGATCACCTGCGAGCCAGTGTGCAGTGTTTTGGAGCACTGACGTTTTATCTAGCAGGAGAAGGGTCCTCACTCACAGGCAGCTACAGTGGACATACGAGGCGAGGCCTAGCATGGATGGCACAGTGAAATGTAAACTTCCAAGGGATATGGAGGGGCCAGTGCTGGGACCCCACTGAACAAGGCAGTTACACAGAGCAAACCCATGAAGATGTGATGACGCTAAAGCACATTGGAGAGGAAGAAGTAAACTGTCTCTAGTTACAGATGACATGATCTTATGTATAGAAAATACTAAGGAATTCATACCAAAAATATTGAAACCAACAAGTTCAGCAAAGGTGCAGGCTACAAGATAAATAGACAAAAATCAGAGGCTCTAATGTATAACATAATGACTATAACACTGGGTTGTATAGTTTAAATTTGCTAAAGAGTGGAACTTAAATGTTCTCATGAAAAAATTTAAGTAGATAAATGTGTGGATGTTAATTAGCTAGAAGGGAAGAAACCTTTCAAAATGTGTACATATATCAAATCATGAGGGACACTTTAAATATCTTACAGGTTTGCCAGTTATACCTCAATAAAGCTGAAAAAATACAAAAATTGATTGTATTTCTCTACACTAGCAAAGAACTATGGAGAATGAAATTAAAATGATTCTGTTTACATAGCATCAAAAAGAATAATTTATAAAGATACTTAGAATAATATGTCAATGATATCTCAAAGCTGAGAAAAAGAGAATAAATTTAACAAAACAAATGCAAGATTTGTACTCTGAGAACTACTTAACTTCGTTGAAAAAAAAATTAAAAAGACCTAAATAAGTGGAAATGTTGGCGACAAAAAGGCAGCAGGTGTTAGACTGGTGGCCTCAGATCGGACCTTGGTTCAGCAACATCAGAACTTGAGTTCTGGCTAAGAGAGAATTCAAGAGTCAAGACTCAAAACTATAAGATAAAGTTTACTTAGAAAGTCACAGAGGTAGACGTGAGCGTCGAAGAAATGGACCCAGGAAACAAGTTACAGAGGCAAAAGAAGGGCCCTTGGTGCATAGAAGATGAGAGAGAGAGAAAAGGCCGAGAGAGGAGAGAGAGAGAGAGGTAAGGGGTGGGGGACGGTTCGGGCACGCCCTATTATAGCAGTGATGGCGAATCTTTTGAGCTTGGTGTGTCAGCATTTTGAAAAACCCTAACTTAACTCTGGTGCCATGTCACATATAGAAATTTTTTGATATTTGCAACCATAGTAAAACAAAGACTTATATTTTTGATATTTATTTTATATATTTAAATGCCATTTAACAAAGAAAAATCAAGCAAAAAAATGAATTCGCATGTCACCTCTGACGTGCGTGTCATAGGTTTGCCATCACTGCCCTATAGAGATGGCCTCATTGGGTCCTCCATCTTTTTTTAAAAAAATATATTTTATTGGTTTTTTACAGAGAGGAAGGGAGAGGGATAGAGAGTTAGAAACATCGATGAGAGAGAAACATCGATCAGCTGCCTCCTGCACACCCCCTACTGGGGATGTGCCCGCAACCCAGGTACATGCCCTTGAACGGAATCGAACCCGGGACCCCTCAGTCCGCAGGCCGACGCTCCATCCACTGAGCCACACTGGTTTCGGCGGGTCCTCCATCTTGAGGGAATTTATCTGGAGGTCTCGGGGGGATCCCAATAGAATATGATTCAGCTTTCCAGCTGTGTCCTTTCAGGGTGGTGGTCTCTACTGACTGGCCAGGGCCACAGCAGGGGTCATTAGTCCATGCAGCTGGCCCCATGTCAGTCCTCATTGCTCTTTCCCTCTGCCTTTGTCTCCTACAGCTTCTGTCCTCTGGACACCTCCACCCCCAGCCCCACCCCTAGCCTGCTATTCTCCCCAGGCCAAATCCACCCCAAATGCTACCATTTGAAACCCACCAGGATGTCGCCCCATATGACCTCTCCGCGTTATCCCCATCACTTCTCTTCACGTCTGGCTTCCCAGCACTTCCTTCGTGCTGTTCTCAGTGCTGGCCATGGCAGTCCTGTCTGTCCCCATCTGCCCCAGTCCTGGCAGCAGGTGCATTTCTCCCTCCTGCCCCATTTCCTGTCAACCTCTCTGCCCAAGGCTGACCCTGCTGCCTTGCATTCACTGTCAGGCCTCCCTGGAAAGAGCCCCATATGTGGTTTTCCAAACACCACTCCCTGGAAGCCCCAGCTAGCTGCCTAGTCCTCTAACCCTCAGACCACACTCTCTGAAATCTGCCAGAGGAAGGGCTGCGTGGGTAGCTGAAGAGTCGTCACACTGAATCCATAGTGTGTGTGTGGGCGTGTTTGCTTAAATCCAGACCATGTGAACTGCCACTGAGAACATCACTCCATGCCTCTATTGACCTAGCAATCTGTGTGTGTGTTTTTAAAACATTGCATCTGTGGGGTTTTTTTTAATATGTTTTTTTTTTATTGATTTGAGAGAGGAAAACACCGATGAGATGGAACCCTCCATCGGCTGCCCCTTGCACCCCAGCTGGGCATGTATTCTGAACCAGGAGTCGAATCAGTAACCACTTGATGCATGGGACAGAGCTCAACCCACTGAGCCACACTGGCCAGGGCGGTTTTGCTTTTGTTTTCATTTACTTAAGCTTGCTCTTATATTCTCTGTATTGAACTCCGCTTTGGTCCTGCCTTCTCTAGGAAAGTTCTAGCTCATTCAGGTTGTGCTTAGATGAGCCAAGAGAAGGGGCTCTTTTCTCTGTGGGGTAAACACAGACTCATCCATGGACCAGCAGCAGGCAGGCACGGAACTTGGAGCCAGAGGTGATCGGAGGGCTTCAGTCCCCCTTCCAGGAACCTTGGACATTCTGTGTGTCCCTTCACACAGTGTGTGAATGTGTGGGTAATCCCTGGGCCTCCTGCAATGACCACCTGTGGGGTTCCCTCCCCCGTTCTCCTCCTGCTGCCATATGCCCCCCTCCCCCCGCCCAGCCAATCTTCTCAATCTGGCTGCAATCACATCAGCCCCTCCCACAACCTCCAGGGTCACCCTTTACACCGAAGTCTACGTGCCCAGCTGAACCTCCCTGCCCTCCGACCTCCTTGTTCCCACGTCTGCCCCGCGCACCCCATCCATCCCCCTTTGCTGCTTGGGAAACTGGAGATACTTTCCCCAAGACCCCGCCCAGATATCCCAATGCTCCTGGAAGGTGGACTTAACCCCTCCCTCCGCCCTAGAGCTTCCCAGCCCCTTCCTTCCAGGAGCTTATCCCTGGTCCACATCTTGCAGGAGTCCCATCACACAGGCTGGTCCCCTGACACCCTCTGGACTTTAAAACTCATGCCCATGCCCTGACCGCTTTGGCTCAGTGGATAGAGCGTCGGCCTGTGGACTGAAGGGTCCAAGGTTTGATTCCGGTCAAAGGCATGTGCCTTGGTTGTGGGCACATCCCCTGTAGGGGGTGTGCAGGAGGCAGCTGATCGATGTTTCTCTCTCATCGATGTTTCTAACTCTCTATCCCTCTCCCATCCTCTCTGTAAAAAATCAATAAAATATATATATTTAAAAAAAACACACACACACACAAAAAAACTCATGCCCTGGCCAGCTAGCTCAGTTGGTTAGACCATCGTCCTGATGAGCCACGGTCACAGATTTGATCCCCAGCCAGGGCACATACACTTATCAACGAATGCATAAAAAAGTGGAACAACACATGGACATTTCTCGCTCACTAAAATCAGTCAATAAAAAATAAAGATACATTTTACCAGCCTCAGGTGCTAACATCAGCACCAGGAACAGGATGCTAACTGGATAGCCCTCGCAGGGATTGGCTCTAGAGCTTATGTCTGCAAAGGCCTGTCACAGTTGGCAGCCCTCATGACTTCTGACACCCTGTGGAAAGGCTACGTTTGACCCCAAAACACACAGAGCGCAGGAGAAGTGAGCCGTGGAGGGGCCTCCGCCCAAAGCAGGGGCTCCTCCTCTGCCCGCTGCCGCCGCCTGGCCGCGTGGAGTCACCACTTCCCGCCCAAAGTGACGACCAATCAAAAAAGAGTTGTGCTTTTTTTTGAAAATAGCCAATCGCCATTGGAGTCCCCGCCTAAGGCCGGCCCCCAGGGCAGTCAGAGCCAATGGCAATTGTGCGGATGGCGTGCCAATCAGGAGTCGGCGCAGCCTGGAGGGCGGGCAGTTGGGCGCGTGGCATTGGACGGAGTGGACGAGTGGAGGTGGGAGCGCGGCTGAGGCCAGACAGTGAGCGCCATGGTACGACGGGCCGTGTGGTGGTGGTGGTGGGGGGGAGGTGAAGGCCTGGGTGGCAGCAGGGCAGGAGGGTGGCCGTCCTGACCCCGCTGGGACCGGGGTGCTACCCAGGGTAGTGGTGTCCGGAGCATGTTGGTCCAGGTCGGGCGCCGGACATGCTCCAGGTTTACACCCGCCTCCCCTCCGCCCCCCGCCCCAGCAAGTGGGAGGTCATGGGGCGCTCATTAAAATGCTGGAGTCGCCCTGACCCAGTGGTTCTCAACCTTCCTAATGCCGCGACCCTTTAATACAGTTCCTCATGTTGTGGTGACCCCCAATTTCATTGTTACAAATTGAACATAATTAAAGCACAGCGATTAATCACAAAAACAATATGTAATTATATATGTGTTTTCCGATGGTCTTAGGCGACCCCTGTGAAAGGGTCGTTGGACACCCTACCCACCCTGGGTTTGGCTCACTGGATAGAGCGTCGGCCTGCGGACTGAAAGGTCCCGGGTTCGATTCTGGTCAAGGGCATGTACCATCCCCAGCAGGGGGTGTGCAGAGGCAGCTGATCCATGTTTCTCTCCCATCAATGTTTCTAACTCTCTATCCCTCTCCCTTCCTCTCTGTAAAAAAATCAATAAAATATATTTTTAAAAAACACACAAACCTGCTGTAGTAAGTCATGCCTGGGGGCCATGGAACCAGTTACTGCGGGAGACATGGTGTGATCACGCTTACCAGCGGCGACTCTTGGGTTTAAATATGTAGACTGTAGTTATAGAGTCGTAATAACTTTTTAATCTTTATTGTTGAAAGTATTACATTGACTCCTTCTAGCCCCCCCCCCCCTTCGCCACCCTATTGTTAGATATGTGATATTTATGTCGGCGAAATTGCTGCAGTGGTTTTTTTCAACATATGGCCTATTCGCTAAAATGTGTTTAAAATGTCAGTGAATTCATAACAGAAACACCTGTTGATTTAGTTATAAGTAAATCTTGGTTAAAAGCATTTTAAAATTAACAATGTGTGAATTTTCACATGACAAACGGACCTGAAATTTTGTCCGTTATATCCGAAGTTTCTTTAAATTGAGGTCCACAAAATTGAGGGTTTATGGTAAAAACTTTCTGTGGTAGTGTGGTGCCAGCCCGTCCCTATAGTTTGGACATATTTTCAGACAATAATGTTGTAAAGCATAGATACTAGTAAGTTTTATTTCTTCCACCAATTCAATGCCACAGGGAGCATTTTGTGCCAAATAGGGTCAACAGAACCAGCAACAAATTTACAAAATGAAACGGTGAGTGCTCCGTTTCACACCCTCTCCATGTTAAATATCGTCTCTTCTCATGAATGTCAGAAAGCTCCTTAATCTGACCACTGCTCCAACACGCCATAGCTACAGCCACATTGCCATGACAGTCCCCTGTGTTCCTTTATGTCTCGACATTGATTTCTTATTCCTACTCATCCTCCAGCCACCTTTTACTTCCTCCTGACAGTCCCTATTATGGTGTTCATTGCCTTACCCAGCCAGTTTCTCCTTGATGTTTCCATTCGATCTACATCCCTGTATATGGGGCATCATCATTGACAGCTTCGATATTCTGTCTCTGACCCTGTCGGAAGGAAGGAGGAGGGTGACAGTGTTCATAAAGTCTGTAGTAGTGTACAGTGATGTCCTAGGCCTTCACATTCACTCACCACTCACTCACTTCCAGGACTGCAAGCTTCATTCAGGATAAGTGCCCTATATAGGTGTACCATTTCTTATATTTTATACTGTATTTTTACTGTACTTTTTTGTGTTTAGATACACAAATACTTAGCATTGTGTTATAATTACCTACAGTATTCAATACAGCAATAGGTTTATAGCCTAAGAGCAGTCGTCTTTGCCATATAATTAGGTGTGTAGTAGGTTTGTGTAAGTGCATGCTATGATGATCAAACAATGACGAGACATTGCCTAATGGTGCATTCCTCAGAATGCATTCCTGTCATTAAGGCATATATGACGCCTAATTTATGGATCAGGTTTTATTTGCATGCCATATAGTGACAATGGCCGTGAGGTGGTGGGGCAGGGGTCTCACATGTATGTTCTGTTTCCCAGCGCGAGTGCATTTCTATCCACGTGGGACAGGCCGGGGTCCAGATCGGCAATGCCTGCTGGGAATTATACTGCCTTGAACATGGCATTCAGCCTGACGGGCAAATGCCGAGTGACAAAACCATTGGCGGTGGGGACGACTCGTTCAACACGTTCTTCAGCGAGACTGGGGCTGGCAAGCATGTGCCCAGAGCAGTGTTTGTGGACCTGGAGCCCACCGTGGTTGGTATGTACTCGGGCAAGCAGGGTGGCTGAGAGAGCCTAGTTAATCCCCAAGGGTTCTCCTTGGAATTCCTCTGCAGAAAGGATGGATGGACACACAGGTAAGCCGTGACCATGTTAGGCGAGAAACTGAAAGGTTAGTGCTTGAAATGTGGGGCTTGGGCTCCCGATTTAGAAAAACCTAACCTACAGAAAAGGCTTTGCCAGGGGTAAGCTGGGCTCATAACAGATTCATTCATTCATGACTGCCTCAGCCCAGGCAGCTGTAGATCCTGCCTGCAGGGCACTTGGCACTCATTCTTTCTTAATGCTGTGCACTCTCTCAGCTGATGCACAAGAGTCTTAACCTGTGTCTCAGACATAGGTAAGTAGAGAACATTCATTTGGTCCCTCCAGATTAGAAGCCTGAGGAGATCTACAAAGACAGACCTGTCAGTGGTCACCCAGAGATGACAGATGTCACCCTAAAGTCTGAGACCAGGCCACACAGGTGCCCTGATAGGACTGCCTGGCAAAAAGCACACTGACCTAGTGACTGTTCAGTATGAATCATTTAAAATTATACCATTTGGTGTGAAAGAAATATGCACTTGTAGTCTTGTGTGCAGGGGTGAGCACTCTGTTCTCTTCTTTGGGAACCGGTCAAGCTGGTATTTGTGCCATGAGTTGAGTTTACCTCCCTAGAGCCATAGATTGCAGATGTGCTCTGTGTATTACATAGAGCCTCCCTGTGATACACTGATGCTATTGACCTACCAGGAACAGCACGTGCTTGGTAGAATTGAACGGTCCCCATGACTGTCCATGCTGCTGAGTTAACAATCATCCTTAAAGGCCATGGCACATGTGTCCTCTTTGTAGATGAAGTGCGCACAGGGACCTACAGGCAGCTCTTCCACCCTGAGCAACTGATCACCGGGAAGGACGATGCAGCCAATAATTACGCCAGAGGCCACTACACCATCGGCAAGGAGATTGTTGACCTGGTCCTGGACCGGATCCGCAAATTGGTAAGAAGGTGCCAGGAAGCCTTCCAGGGTCATTTTGGCAAAACCCAAGGCAGAATCATGAACCCATGGTCCTCCTTCCCGGTGTGGCTGCGATGCATCCATCCGTACATCTGTGTGTCTGCTTTGCCTCCCCTTCAGTGGAATGCATGTTACCTGGGGTGACTGGGATCCATTTAACCTTGTGGAGTCAAAGAGAAGTGACCTAGGCTTGTGGGAGGTTGGCGGTGTGGCTTCGAAAGGCATTGCTCACGGTCTCTGCTTTCTCTCAGGCGGATCTGTGCACGGGGCTGCAGGGCTTCCTCATCTTCCACAGCTTCGGGGGCGGCACCGGCTCTGGGTTTGCATCTCTGCTTATGGAACGGCTCTCGGTCGACTACGGCAAGAAGTCCAAGCTAGAATTTGCCATTTACCCAGCCCCCCAGGTGTCCACGGCCGTGGTGGAGCCCTACAACTCCATCCTGACCACCCACACGACCCTGGAGCATTCCGACTGTGCCTTCATGGTGGACAACGAAGCCATCTATGACATATGTCGGCGCAACCTGGACATTGAGCGGCCCACGTACACCAACCTCAATCGTCTGATTGGGCAGATCGTGTCCTCCATCACGGCCTCCCTGTGCTTTGATGGGGCCCTGAACGTGGACTTGACGGAATTCCAGACCAACCTGGTCCCGTACCCCCGCATCCACTTCCCCCTGGCCACCTACGCCCCAGTCATCTCAGCTGAGAAGGCCTACCATGAGCAGCTGTCCGTGGCTGAGATCACCAACGCCTGCTTTGAGCCTGCCAACCAGATGGTCAAGTGTGACCCTCGCCATGGCAAGTACATGGCCTGCTGCATGTTGTACCGGGGGGATGTGGTCCCGAAAGATGTCAACGCGGCCATTGCCACCATCAAGACCAAGCGCACCATCCAGTTTGTGGATTGGTGCCCAACGGGATTTAAGGTAGGACTGGGTGATAACGAGTGGTTTTACCTTTCAGCATGCAGCAGACCCTGCGAAGGGATGCTGCCCTTGTGGAGAATACCCCGTTCCATGGCAGCTAGGCTCTTGGTCATCAGTTAGTGTACCAGAGTGCTCATTTATCCAGTGGTGTCTTTTGAATTTCCCTCCTGAGTCATCACACTGTTTATCTGTGGCGCAAGAATATTTTTTAATAGAACCTGAAATTTTCTGAAGGGTCTCTGTTCCCCTGTTCAGGTGGTGGAATTAGTGTGGGAAATGTTTATTAGCCTGAGAAATAAGATATTTTTTTCTTATAATAAGAAGTCTCGCCTGCCCGGTTTGGCTCAGTGGATAGAGCGTCAGCCTGCGGACTGAAGGGTCCCGGGTTCGATTCCGGTCAAGGGCATGTACCCTGGTTGCGGGCACATCCCCAGTGGGGAGTGTGCAGGAGGCAGCTGATCGATGTTTCTAACTCTCTATCCCTCTCCCTTCCTCTCTGTAAAAAAATCAATAAAATTTATTTAAAAAAAAAAAAAAGAAGTCTCTGGGCATTTTGGTAATTCATGTTAATATTTGAAATTGGGATATTACTTTTGGTGTCATTAAATCCCACTTGATTCCATAGGTATGTAGAAATTAAACTAAATTTAAATGTCCTATGAAGTGTTTGATTTAGTGAAAAATTACTATGAATATCTTTGTTGGGGAAAAAAAAAGGCAACAGCCTTTTATTTCTCTCACTAAGCCTAGAAATTCTGGCCTGAATTTGCCTAAAACCCCAGTTTGTACCAGCCTTCCATTTGATACAGAGACAAAACCTTGCCGTCGTGTTTCAGCTTTGCTCTGTCCTTGATTACTGAACCCTGTCTACTCTTTCCCTCCGGGATCTGTGTTTCCCTTGCTTCTCATGCTGTCTCCTCTGGCTCAGACCCTCAACTGCTTCTAGTGGGCCTGCTGTGCTGGGTTCTTCTTTTGCAGGACGTCGGGGGGAGGATTTTAGAGTGAGAGAAACATCGATGTGAGATTGGTTGCCTCCCACACATTCTCCAACCAGGGTTCGAACCTGCAACCCGGATATGTGCCCTGACTGGGAATCGAACCCACCACCTTTTGGTGTATGGGATGACGTTCCAACCAACTGAGCCACCCAGCCAGAGCCTGTGCTGTGTTCTTAACTAGGACTTCCTACACTGGGTTCTCTTCCTCTAGTTCAGGGATCAGTGTGGTTGGTGGACAAGTGCCTGACTATGTAAAGTTTAACCTGAATACAGCCACACTCATTCAGGGGCCTATTGTTGTGGCTGCTTTTGTGCTACAAAGACATAATTGAGTGGCTGTGACAGAGTGCATGGCCCATCCAGCATAGAGTACATACTGTCTCACCCTTTATAGACAAAGTTTGCTGACCCTAACTCTAGCTGACCCTGTTTGCATTCTGCTGCCAATACCTCTGGCCCTCTCTCTCCTGAAGCCTGGAATGTCACCCCTCCCTCCTACTTAGCACACACACAGACCACCTGCAGTGGTTCTAGGTCCTCTGGCAGTGTACCTGTCACTCTGCTATACACACACTGATTATTTGGTGGGAAAGCAGGACTATGATCTTCCCTTGCAATACCATCACGGTTGTGTACTAGGTGAGAAAGGCTTCCCCCATGGAGATCAGTTCTCCTCTTGAAGCCTATGGAGAAAGTAACCTATGAAGAATCCAGGACGGTGTCCTTCCTCAGAAGGAAGACAGTTGAATCACCACGGTGCCTATCACATGGCATAGTTGCTGGGCAGCCCCTCAGGCAGCTGGGACTGAGCCAGCGTAGCGGCTCTGGACACTTGTCTTTCCTTGTCTGGAAACCATCACCTTCTTGCCTGGCACAAAGAAGGGCTCAGAGACTGCAGATTGAACTAAGCCTTCTGTCAGGTCGCCAGAGGGTGCCTACCTGCCTTCCGTTTCTGGGAAAGTAGCCACCATTTCTGGGTTTGAAGGAAGCTTCACACAGCGCTTTTTTCCCCTTCTCTGGCAGGTGGGCATCAACTACCAGCCCCCCACCGTCGTCCCTGGAGGAGACCTGGCCAAGGTGCAGCGGGCTGTGTGCATGCTGAGCAACACCACCGCCATCGCCGAGGCCTGGGCCCGCCTGGACCATAAGTTCGATCTCATGTATGCAAAGCGAGCCTTTGTGCACTGGTATGTGGGGGAGGGCATGGAGGAAGGGGAGTTCTCCGAGGCCCGGGAGGACCTGGCAGCTCTGGAGAAAGATTATGAAGAGGTGGGCGTGGATTCCGTGGAAGCTGAGGCTGAAGAAGGGGAAGAATACTGGCTGGGAGCGTGCAGCTGGCGGGTCTACCTCTTCTGTTCTCTCTTGTCACCCCTCAGCTCTACTGGTTTCAAGTTGTTATTAAAGTTTCTGTGTCAAACCTGTCTGCCCACAGGAGTGGATAGCCTGCTGGGCCTGGTCTGGGCTACACGGTGCTGTGCTTTGGGTGGGTGCAGCACTACCCACACCTGTAAGGAGCTACTGCTTACGTGACAGAACTTTGGGGAAACAGTCAATATTTCCAATCCAAGATTTCGAAGCATTAACATTTACTCAAGTCTAGGAAAATTGAGTTAGATTTTTCCATTGAATTTGCCATTTTTCAGGCCTGTCCACTGATGGGACGTGGGGACTAAAGTACAAAAGCTTGGAACTGGAGTTTTAAATATATTTTTACTGGTTTCAGAGAGGCAGGGAGAGGGAGAGATAGAAACATCAGTAATGAGAGAGAATCATTGATCAGCTGCCTTCTGCACGCCCCCCGTTGGGGACGGAGCCCACAACCCGGGCATGTGCCCTAACTGGGAATCGAACTGGGACCTTCTGGTTCATAGGTCGATGCTCAACCATTGAGCAACACCAGCCGGGCAGAACTGGAGTTTTAAAATCTGAAGCCCATGGAAAGGGGGGAGGGTGTCCACAGAATCCCTAAAACTCTGGGTCACATGTGTAAGGCCAGGGCACTTTGGGGGTAAGAGGTTTTATTGGATTCTTCAATGGCATGCATGACCCACAGAAGGTTAGAAGCTCTAAAAATTCATTCCTGTCCTGTCTGGTAACTTGACAGTGTTACCCCCTCCATACTTTAAACCCCTGCTCCCGTTGCACCTGAGCACCCTAAGAATGGTCTCAAGCAAAACATGTTGAAATGAGGCCCATGAGGGTGAAGTCACTAGTTTAAGTCACTTGGTTAGTTCAGCTGTAGCACAACCAGGATGAGCAACAGAACTAATTCTAAATATTTGTGCTTTAATATATTGAAAATGTGATAGAAAACATCTTGAATAGACCATGAATTTTTTTAAAAAAGGTTTATTATCAACTGGGGGAATTCATGCATAACCTTTGCTAGGAGGCTGGTGGAGCTCATAGCAGGTGGTCTGCTTGGCTCAGGTACTGCTCCGAGTGGGGCTCTTCCCAGGCCCTGCCCCCTTGGGCAGCCTAGTAGCACTGGGCTGTCGGGGCATCCTCTGGCTGGATCCTTCCCGGCAGCTTCGTTCTGCCAGAGTGGGGCCTCCACCAAGAGCAGTGCTGCTTTTGTTTCTCCCTGAGCAGACACAGAAAACAATCATTAGGAACCAAGACAAACTCCACAATCACAGTGCATCTCTGTGTTTCTTTATTTTTTTAAATCTTTTTAAATTTATTGATTTCAGAAAGGAAGAGAGAGGGAGAGACAGATAGAAACATCAATGATCAGAGAGAATCATTGATCGGCTGCCTCCTTCACACCCCCTACTGGGGACCGAGCCTGCAACCTGGGCATGTGCCCTTGGTCGGATCGAACCTGGGACCCTTTAGTCCATAGGCTAATGCTCTATCCATGAGCCATACCAGCAAGGGCCATCTCTGTGTTTCTTGAGCAACATTTACATCTAGTATGTTTCTAGCACAGTACTTTCAGTCGGGGACCCTGTCTCAGCCCAGGGTTCTGAAGCTCAAAGACTGCCTACAAATGGCACATCCAAGAGCAGTCTTTGGCGGAGTGCAGGAGGCCCTGGAGGGTGTCCTAGAATGAAGGGGTGGGGTGGGAGTGTCGATGGTCAGTTTAGGGGCAGGGAAGCTCAGCTTCATGACTCCTGCCCTAGGAAGCTTTTGTGGTTAGCTACCACTGCCAGCAGCAAGGAGGGCTCCCTATCAGTAGAGCTGCTACCTCATTGTCCCCCCAAGGCACCCTCCTCTTCTCTGGATTATCCATGTTTCAGCCCATCAGACAACACTGGACGCACAGGCGTCATCAACAGATGATGAAGTCAGGCTTTTGAACTTGGATCTTGGAAGCTCTTTCTCCTGTTTTCCTCCCTCCCTCAGTGTCCTGCAAACATCCAGTGGTCAAGCTTCTTGCTCTCAGGTTCACTCAGGTTGGGTCCTGCAGAGGCTTGACTGCTCAAGACTTGCCCTGACCACTAGGTAGTCACACTCGGATAGAGACACTGGTCTGTTCCTTGATTAGTAATTTGCTTACTTTATTCTCTCTCTCTTTCTCGCTCTCTCTCTCGTTGTGTGTGTGTGTGTGTGTGTAGACGACAGGCATACCTGTAACCACACCTGGACTAGAGTTTTATTTTAAACTAGAGGCCTGTTGCATGAAGAGATTCGTGCAATAGGCCTTCCCTTCCCTTGGCTGCTGGCACCGGTTTGCCTCTGGCACCTGGGACCCAGGCCTTTGCTCTGGCTGGAGCCGGCCCCGGAGCCTTCAGGCTTCGCTGCTCCAGCCCCGGGGCTGTCAGGCTTCGCTCCCACTTGGAGCCTACATGTGCAAATTAACCGCCATCTTTCTTGGGTTAATTTGCATACTCTCCTGATTGGCTGGTTAATGTAGTGAAGGTACGGTCAATTTACATGTTTGTCTATTATTAGGTAAGATGGTTGACTTCTCTGAGCTCCGAATGTTGACAGCATCAGTAAGACTAAGAGGACCCTCCAGGGGACAAAAAGTACTGGTGGACCAGGCTCACTCACCAGTTCAGTCCCTCTATTCTGGGCCAGCTTCAGCCAAGGTCTGCCCTGTGGGCTCTGACCAGCATTCCTGTCTCCTGCTTGACCCCTACTCTCCTTCAGGGTTCAGGGTCAAATAGCCTGCCTTAGGGAAATTATGAGTTGTTGGAGAAAAGATGCAACAAAGTTTCTTAGGGGCCTGTTAAATCATTTCTGTTTTTAGAGGCACCTGCCTTTGAAACTGCAGATCCTGGCTTCTATAGAACATCAGACTCGCTTTCCATGCTCTCCAAGACTGACAACTAAGTTCTTCCCAGGATTCCTGCAGGGCTATGATAGCCCTTAAGAGAATTTCTGGAAAGTACTTCCTCAGAGAGTGGGGTCTTTGCTGCCCGGTGTGGTGGGGAGGGTTACATTGGTTCTTCCTCTGGAACTTGGACAGTTCAGGATTCCTCTCCCTCGCCTCCCTGGTCTTCACACTCAAGTGCTTGTGTGCACTTGATTCAACAGAGAGGTAATAACAGGTTACCCAGGGCCGAGGGGGAGCAGACAGGAGCATGTTGTGGGGTGAAGCTGAGTCAACTCAGCCTGCCTTTAAATCTGACAAGGCCAGTGACTCACAAAAAACAGATACAAAGAGAACTGTCATCCACATTTTCTTTGGTACAAATGCCAATATTCTGGTCAGTGTGCAAGTATCCCTATGAGCCCCGCCACCCCACAGCATCTCCCAACATGCTAGTGCCCAGCTCGGACGCCATAGCACCTCCCAGGCCAGGCCAAGCAGAATTAGGTCTTCTGTAGCATCTTCCCTGCCCCTCAGCCTCTTCTCCTCTGGGGCAGGGGCACCTCTGTAGAGCACAAGTCTCACCCAGCAGAGTTAGTCTCTGGGGGGTTAGGGGTACCGCAGGTTGTCTCTTAATAAACCATGAAATTGTGTCTTCAGTCTCTAAGCTGCGTGGCAGAGATGGCCAGCAGGACCCTGCCCTTGCAGCTAGAAGCTGTTCTGGCTTTCTTGGGCCACAGCAGTTTCCATGGAAACAAGAGAGCACAACAACCCCAGAGATAAACCAATAAATGCAACCTGCAAAAGGAGAGAACAGGCAGCAAGAGAACCGGAGGGAACCGGGGGGCCCTGGAGAGAGAGGCGGGTGCATGGCAGCTGGGCTGTGGTGCAGAACCGGAGAGGCCGCAGGCCGCAGGGCTGAGGAAAAGGAGGCCCTTGCAGGGGGGCTACAGTTCTTGGCAAAGAGAAAGGAGGCCTCTGCAGGTCAGAGAGAGACACAAAGAGAGCAGATGGAGCATGGGTCAGTGAGGAAGCCCAGTGCCTCTCAGGAAAGGGGGCTGAGTGCCTAGGGCCCTGGCACTCCCACCCAAAGGGGCCAGCCTGCCCTCCACTCCAGTGTCAGCTGCTTCTCAGGATGCCTGTAAGTGCCTGAGTGTTCTGGCCAAGGAGCCAGCCCAGGAGGTTCTGCTGCATGACAGAGGGTTTCTGGCAGTCATCAGGGGCAGAAGTGACACAGGGAGCTCTGCCTTGACATTCTCATCACCAGCACCTGTTCATAATCCTTGAGCGTGAGGAGGCCCCTCAAGCCTGAGCCCAGTGCTCTGCCACTCAAGCCTCTGCACCCTGAGTGCCCAGGGCAGCCAGGACTGCCACACTGACTCCTGGGCAGGACCTGGAGCTGGGTGAGGTGGGTTCAGGGGAGGGGGTTGTAGGAAAGCCTCTCTGCTTGCCCACTCCCTGAGCACTTCCCTGGAGAGTGTACACACCATGAGAACAGGAACCAAAGCAGTCTTGTCCCTGTATTTGTGGTATGGAGGTATGAGGTGAGAAGAGGCTGGGTCAGATGAGGCCTAGCCTGCTTGGGCCACGTTGGGGCACCCATTCTGCCTCCATCTGATCCAGACCTGCTCTCTCAAGGCTAGCATTGAAGCCAAAGCTGGGGACTGCCCCAAATGGGAGAGCGCTAGGTTGGGTCCAGTGGGCCATGGGAGAAGACCTACAGAAAGGCCAGACCACTGAGGGTTTAGCCCACTGTGTCGGGCACTGCCCACCTCCTGGCCCCTGCCACCCCGCCGCCTAGGTCACAGGGGCAGAGAGCACCCCAGCTCACCTCGGGTCTCAGGCACATTCGATGTAGGCAGGGACACAGCAGCAGGATCCTGGGGCTCGCTCGCCAGCCTCTGCCCGGCACACATGGATTTGAGCATCTGGAAGACTGCGAGGGGCGCGACGTTCAGCTTCAGCAGGTCCACTAGGATCCTGGTGAGATCAGATGCGGTGCGCAGTGAGCCCTACTGGTCCCCCGGCCCATCTGCTCGGGCGAGACCGGGGCGGGCATGGCTACCAGACTGGCACTAGGTCCAGGAGGGTCACCTTTGTCAAGGTCCCGACTCTACTTTGGGCCCCCAGAGGATCGCGACAAGGACGGGAGGCTCTACTACACAGATCAGTGGCCTGGCGGGGGCTAAGAGCCGGGTTGTCTGGGGCTCGGACCAGCGCGCAGTCTCCACCCGCGCCCGCTCACTTGAACACGTCGGGATCCATGGCGCCGCCCGCCGCCTGCGCCAGCTCGTACAGCTCCATCTCCTCGGCACTCAGCACTTTCTTCCGCCGCAGCACGAGCTTCTGTAGCGCTGCCTCCAGCCCCGGGGATGGCCCCGACCCGGGCCCGGGTCCAGCGCCCGGCGTCGCCATCTGCGGGGCCTGCGGGAAGCTGCGAGCCCCACTCGGTCCCGCCCCGCCGGGCGCTCCCACGGCGCCCTCTACTGGCCCCGCCGGCTGTTCTCTCCGTGCAGCGTCACCGTCTGGCCTCCGGACAGCCCTACACTGGAGGGCAGGGATCAGCCCGTCTTTCCTCCTTCATTCGATCCACATTTACGTGCCGGGCGGTGTGTTAGGCGTGGTGGAGACCGTGGCAGGCCAAAGAGACCCGCTCCTTGGCTATCAGGACTTCCCTGCTAGGTTGCATGTGTCGTTCTCGCTTAAGGAGCAACATCCAGCGCAGTACCTGACATACAGTGGGCGCTCAGTAAATAAATGCCTGCGGGACGAAGGGCCGTCAGTGCACAGTGTATAATGGCTCCTGGCCCCGATGGGGGCGCGCCCCGAGGGCCCTACTTAACAGCCTCTCCTTACGCGCACGCGCTCTCCTCGTCTCGCTTACAGTGCGTGAGCTCAGGCCTCCCCTGCGCACGCACTTACACCCGGGAAACCCCTAAAACCCGCCAGCCTTCGCTTTGCGCACGCGCCTTTTGAGGCCCTAGTGTCGCTGCCAACGGAGGTGGCGGCGCGTTTCCCGCCAGGCCAGGGGGGCGTGGCGCGGCGCGATGCGCAGTTTGATGACGACATCTTGGCGCCGGATGCCGAATGGTAGCCCCAGTCCCTGAAGATGAGGAACGCTGTAGACTCCACAGGTGAGTAGCGGGAGCCGCGCGCCCGACGGTCCCGGCAGCCTCTCTGAGCTTCCGCTGAAGCTGCCTTCGTTCCTCCGCGAGCCCGGGCCGGGTCTCCGCGTCTCTGCCCCGGCCGGGCCGGCGGGGGAGCCTAGGGCCTGGGCTCCGCCCTCATGCCGCCTTCCCGCGCGGCTCACACATCCAGTCCCGGTGGGTGCTCGGTGAACGTTCGTTGAACGAGTTGGAGGGAGGAAAGCTGCGAGTGAAACTTGAGCTTTGGACTCAACAAACCGTGTAGGAAGAAGAGCCGGGTGTGGGTCCCGGCCCGAGCCTTCCTCCCATTGTCCGAGCCACTCTCCTCCGTGGTACGGGGCATGGTGCCCAGTGCCTGCTTCTCAGGGCAGCTGTGAGCGACAAAGGGGAGCCTGTTCGGCCCCTCAGAGCAGCTAGCAGCGGTTCTCAACCTTCCTAATGCCGCGACCCTTTAATACAGTTCCCCATGTTGTGGTGACCCCCACATAGTGATTAATCACAAAAACTATGTAATTATATATGTGTTTTCCGGTGGTCTTAGGCGATCCCTGTGAAAGGGCCGTTCGACCCCCAAAGGGGTCGCGACCCACAGGTTGAGAACCGCTGAGCTAGAGGGAGTCCTTGGCAGAATCAGCGATGCCTGAGGGCTGCGGCTCTCAGAAGAAACCCCAAAACTAGGTCGGAAGCAGCTCCTGAGGAAAGGGGTTGCTGAAGTGGTAGGATGAAGCAGACGCTTGGTGCACAGCACAGAAGGGGTGATGGGGGGTGGAGGTGGGGCCAGACCAGGGCAGGGTCGGAGACCTGTGTAAGAGGCCCTGCCTGCCTTGGAAAGACCCCTCGTTTGGCACCTCTGGCCTCATTCCTTCAGCCCCTGCCTGGTCCAGACTTCCTCTGAGCAAGGGGCTTTCAACTCGTCCTAAAGCTCTGCCCTTTGCAAACAACTCAGGGTTTTATGCTGCTTTGATAGTTTTGGAATAGTTCTCATGACCACTTGATTCAGGACTGAGGTGTTTTGTCTTAAGTTTTCTTTAAAACTGAAACTGATCGCTAGTTTAAGAGTTGGGGGGAAAACGTGGAGGTGTTTCTATTGCCAAATGACAGATATGTGCGTCTCCTGCCAGCTTCTCAGGTGCCTACACCGTCTCCTTGCACCCAACCTCTCCATCCACATTAAGTTGTCAGTTGCTACCTCAGTGCCCTTACTCAGGCCAGTAGGCAAAGCTGTGCAAGGGAAAGCCAGCAGTAACCCATCATTGGAGCTAGGCAAGCTCCCACTCTGCTCAGTCCAAGGCTGAAAGCATGGTGCTTTGCTCTTATCTAGATGCTCTGGAGAAGAATCTGCTTCGAAGCTTACTCAGGTTGCTGTCAGGATCTAGTTCTTGGGAGTTGTAGAACTAAGGTCCCTGTTTCCTCGCTGGCTGTCAGCCAAGGCTGCTCTGTATTTTATGGTCCACTGACTTGACACTTTAAATTGTATCTGCAAAATTCACAGCAATATCCAGATGGTTGTGATTGGATAACCAGGGGCTGGCACTTGGAGGGCTAGCTTTAGAATTCTGGCTGCCACTGAGAAGTAAATGAGAAATATATGCAGAGCCTCAGAACGGTGGTTCTCAACCTTCCTCATGCTGCGACCCTTTAATACAGTTCCTCATGTGGTGACCCCAACCATAAAATTATTTTCGTTGCTACTTCATAACTGTAATTTTGCTACTGTTATGAATCGTAATGTAAATATCTGATATGCAAGATGTATTTTCATTGCAACTTGAACATAATTAAAGCATAGTGATTAATCACAAAAGCAATATGTAATTATATATGTGTTTTCCGATGGTCTTACTCAACCCCTGTGAAAGGGTCGTTCGACCCCCCCAAAGGGTCGCGACCCACAAGTTGAGAACCGCTGCCCTAGAACCAGGCCTGGCACATAGCAAGTGCTATACAAGCGTTACCACGTATTACCAAGGATTTGCCACCGCAAACGTGTCTCTGAAGCTGGCCACTGTGGGGGCTGCGTGAGAATGGCAATTCTATAACACATGGGACATGGCAATGCAGTATGTGATGAGTTCTACAAATGTCCTCCTGGGCATTGTGAAACGATACAGTGTTCTGTTTGGCAGATGTTGAGATTTCTTATTTGCTTTTCCACAGTGGTTTCCTAAGACGGCCGTTTTCAACTCCACCAGAGGCTACTATGGCATTCCCTCACCTGCAACAGCCCAGCTTCCTACTGGTAAATATCAACTGCCCGTGTGAGTGTCAGTTCAAAGCTGAGGGACTGCCCTGGCTGGCTAGGCTCTGTGGATAGAGAGTCAGCCTGCGTACTGAAGCGTCCCGGGTTCGATTCCGGTCAAGGGCACATGCCCAGGTTGCAGACTCAATCCCCAGTAGAGGGTATGCAGGAGGCAGCCAATCAGTGATTCACTCTCATCTTTGATGTTTCTATCTCTCCCTCTCCCTGCCTCTCTGAAATCAATAAAAATATTTAAAAAAAAACAAAGCTAAGGGACCTGGGAGTTCCTCCCACCAACTTGAACTCTCCAGTGGTTGTTTTTTTGTTTTTTTTAATATCTTTTGTTGATTTTTTTACAAAGAGGAAGGGAGAGGGATAGAGAGTTAGAAACATCGATGAGAGAGAAACATCGATCAGCTGCCTCCTGCACACCCCCCACTGGGGATGTGCCCGCAACCAAGGCACATGCCCTTGAGCGGAATCGAACCTGGGACCCTTCAGTCCACAGGCTGACGCTCTATCCACTGAGCCAAACCGGTGAGGGCTCCAGTGATTGTTTTAAGGTGCATGTGATGGAAATAACACTGGACTCAGGGTTGAAATCCTTAGGCTTGACTCTGCCTCTGCAGGACCTTGGGTTCACTCAACCACTGGGCCCTGGTTTTCTCATCTACAAGGCGAGTTGATTCAAATGCCATTTTCCCTGCTACCCAGGGTATGGGGAGGAGCAACTGAAAAGATATACCTTCAAATTTTATGTCTTGTAAATCCTTACACAAATGTGTAATAATCATAATTGTCATTAGTGAAAGATGGAGGAACACTGTTCTGCTGGGGGCAACCAGGACTGTACTTTAAATATTAAACATGAGCCCTGGCCAGGGTACTAAGTGGTTAGAGCAGTGGCCCAAGCACCAAACGGTTATGGTTTAATTCCTAGTCAAGGGTGCATACCTGGGTTGCAGGTTCAATCCCCGGCCCTGGTCGGGGTGAGTACAGGAGGCAACCAATTGATGTGTCTCTCTCACATTGATGTTTCTCTCTCCCCCCCCAACCCTCCATCCACCCCTCCCTTCCACACTCTCTCAAAATCACTGGGAAAAATGTCCTTGGATGAGGATTATCATATATATATTAAATATGATGCTGAGAAGTTAAGCATAAGACAGATATCAGTGGTGAAAGGTTCAAATTTCAGTTCCAAGAAGATACTTGAGATAAACATTTATTTGGAAGGACATTCTCCCTTGGGTTACCTTCTAGAGCAGTGGTTCTCAACCTTGGCTGCACATTAGAATCACTTGGGAATCTTTTTAAAATCCTGATTTCTGGGTCTCATCCTCCGGAAATTCTGTTTCTTTGTTATGGGGTGGGGCCACAACATTAGTAACAAAGAAACAGAATTTCCAGAGGATGAGGCCCAGAAATCAGGATTTTAAAAAGATTCCCAAGTGATTCTAATGTGTAGCCAAGGTTGAGAACCACTGCACTAGAGCCAACAGATCCAACCTGTGACCTACACAGCCCAAGTCTTCACCTCTGACTGAGGCCCCATAGACTCCACCCTTGTTTGAAGCTGGACAAGGCCTTAGATATCCTTGGGCAAAGCCCTCTTCATTGAAACTCTGACATTTCCTCTTGACCTCCATCCATGTGTGTGGAGGCTTCTTTTTCTTTGTGTAGTCAAGGTACACACCCCATGAACTCAGGTAGATTTCCTTAGTTCTTGTCCTGAATGCTTTCTGGCCTTGCCATGGTCTTCATGATTAGTGTCAGCACTTGGCTGAAGCCATATGTGGATTTTAACTTGCCTGTTTCTTTTTTACATTTTTCCTTTTTTTTTTTAATCTTTATTGTTGAGAGTGTTACAGATGTTCCCCCTTTTGCCCCTCATTGCCTCCCTCTACCCAGTTCTCACCCCACCCCATGCCTTCACCACCTTACCGTCTGTGTCCATAGGTAAGATCTTTGGTTAATCTCTTCAATCCCCCACCTCCCCCGTTCCCTCTGAGATTTGTCTGTCCCATGCTTCCATGCCTCTAATTCTGTTTTATTCACCAGTTTATTTTGTTCATTAGGTTTCTGTTCATTTATTTTGATTTTTAGATTCAATTGTTGATATGTATTTGTTGCCATTTTATTGTTCATATTTCTTACCTCTTCCTCCTCCTCCTCCTCCTCCTCTCCTCCTCCTCCTCCTCCTCCTCCTCCTCCTCCTCCTCCTCCTCCTCCTCCTCCTCCTCCTCCCCTCCCTTCCTTCTTCATAGGTAAGTAACTGCTTTTCTGTTGCTGCTTTTAAGATATTCTCTTTGTCTTTTTTTTTGTTTGTTTTTTAATTAAATCTTTATTGTTCAGATTATTACATTTGTTCCTCTTTTTTTCCCCCCCATAACTCCCCTCCTCCCAGTTCCCGCCCCACCCTCTGCCCTCACTCCCCACCCACTGTCCTCTTCCATAGGTGCACGATTTTTGTCCAGTCTCTTTCCGCATCTCCCACACCCCTTTCCCCCCCAAGAATAATCAGTCCATTCCCTTTCTATGTCCCTGATTCTATTATGATCACCAGATTATTTATTCACTTGATTCTTAGATTCACTTGTTGATAGATGCATATTTGTTGTTCATAATTTGTATCTTTACCTTTTTCTTCTTCTTCCTCTTCTTAAAGGATACCTTTCAGCATTTCATATAATACTAGTTTGGTGGTGATGAACTCCTTTAGCTTTTCCTTATCTGTGAAGCTCTTTATCTGACCTTCCGTTCTGAATGATAGCTTTGCTGGATAAAGTAATCTTGGTTGTAGGTTCTTGGTATTCATCACTTTGAATATTTCTTGCCATTCCCTTCTGGCCTGCAAAGTTTCTGTTGAGAAATCAGCTGACAGTCGTATGGGTGTTCCCTTGTAGGTAACTGGGTTTCTTTCTCTTGCTGCTTTTAAGATTCTCTCTTTGTCTTTTGCTCTTGGCATTTTAATTATGATGTGTCTTGGTGTGGTCCTCTTTGGATTCCTTTTGTTTGGGGTTCTCTGCGCTTCCTGGACCTGTAAGTCTATTTCTTTCACCAGGTGGGGGAAGTTTTCTGTCATTATTTCTTCAAATAGGTTTTCAATATCTTGCTCTCTCTCATCTTCTGGCACCCCTATAATTCTGATGTTGGTACGCTTGAAGCTGTCCCAGAGGCTCCTTACACTATCTTCGTATTTTCGGATTCTTTTTTCATTTTGCTTTTCCAGTTGGGTGTTTTTTGCTTCTTCGCGTTTCGAATCTTTGACTTGATTCTTGCGCTCTTCTGGTCTGCTGTTGGGTGTCTGTATAATATTCTTTATTTGAGTCAGTGTATGCTTAATTTCTAGTTGGTTCTTTATCACAACATCGAGGGTCTCATTAGATTTCTTGAGGATCTCACTACATTTATCGGCGGTCTCACCAGTCTTTTCAAGGGCCTTACTAAGTTTATCGGCAGCTTCTAGACAGTTCTTGAGAGACCTTAAAAGTGTGGTTTTGAGCTCTATATCTTCCATTTCTAACATTTGCGTCCTGTTTCTTTGTCTCCGCATTTTTATATCTTTTCTTGGTGCACCCCCTAGTGGTCTTTGTGCGCAGTCTTGTAGTTAAGCCTTGATTGTTGTCGGCAATACCAGGGGTGATTTGACCTCCAGGCTAACTGGCTATGAGAGTCAGCTGTGTCTGCAGTGGGAGAGCTTCTGTGCTGGATCTCTAGGGCAGTGCTAATCTAGCGATAGCCTGAGGCTATCCGGCAAATGGCTCTGCGCAGGGCTTGGGCGGGGCGGGTCCCCGGGGATCTACAGGGCGGCCAGAGCAAGCAGTTATGGCAGCTCTCAGTTCCGTCCCTAGGGGCTCTGCCTCTTAGAGTCCCAGCAACCGCTGCCAACCTCGGAGAGAAAGCTGCCTTCGAGTTCCGACCGAAGCCAGACAGTCCCGCTTCTCCCGTTTGAGTCTGGGTCCCCAGAGACTCGCCCGGATCTGGAGCTCAGAGTCTGAAACTCCCTCCCGATTGAAAACAACAACCGCGCCCTCCGCCGCCAGCCCGCTCTGCGCACTCCGCACCTGAGTATTTCACTTCAGCACTGCGCCTCCTCTGAGTCTGGGTATGATATTCTCTTTCCTCCTAGTTGTAGAATTTCCACTCAGCCAGCCTTCCTGTTGTTCTGGATGATGTTCATTCTGTCCTTTAGTTATATTTCTGAAGTGGTTGTTCGAGGCAGCAATCTCCGGCGTTAACCTATGCCGCCATCTTGGTTTCTCCCTCTTTGTCTTTAACCCTTGGCATTTTAATTATGCTGTGTCCTTGGTGTGGGCCTCTTTGAGTTCCTCTTGTTTGGCACTATCTGCGCTTCCTGGACTTGTAAGTCTATTTCTTTCACCAGGTAGGGGAAGTTTTCTGTCATTATTTCTTCAAAGAGGTTTTCAATTTCTTGCTCTCTCTTATCTTTTGGCACCCCTTCAATGTTGGTACGCTTGAAGTTGTCCCAGAGACTCTTTACACTTTCTTCATATTTTTTTTTTTTTTTAAGATATATTTTATTGATTTTTTACAGAGAGGAAGGGAAAGAGATAGAGAGTTAGAAACATCGATGAGAGAGAAACATCGGTCAGCTGCCTCCTGCACACTCCCCACTGGGGATGTGCCCACAACCAAGGTACATGCCCTTGACCGGAATCGAACCTGGGACCTTTCAGTCCGCAGGCCGACGCTCTATCCACTGAGCCAAACCGGTTTCGGCTTCATATTTTTTTATTCTTTTTTCTTTTTGCTCTTCTGATTGGGTGTTTTTTGCTTCCTCATATTCCAAATCATTGACTTGAATCTCAGAATTCTCTAGTTGAATTCCTGTAAGTGGTTCTTTACTTCAGTTAGTGTATGCTTAATTTCTGACTGGCCCTTTTTCATGACATTGAATGACTTTCAAGTCTCACTAGTCCCTTGAAACTCTCATGAAGATCCTTGAGTAACCTCATAACTGTGGTTTTGAACTCGGTATCCAGTAGTTTGCTTGCTTCCACTTCTTTCATTTGTGATGTGTTTCTTTGTCTCTGAATTTTTGTTGCTTCCCTGTGTTTGTTTCTATGTATTAGGTAGAGCTACTATGTCTCCTGGAATTGGTAGAGTGCCCTTGTGTAGTAGGTGTCCTGTAGGGCCCAGTGGCTCAACCTCCCTAGTCACCTGAGCTGGACACTCTAAGTGTGTCCCTGTGTGTGCTGTATGTACAGTCTTGTAGTTGAGCCTTGATTGCTGTTGGCGTCTCTGGGAGGAGTTGACCTCCAGGCCAATTGGCTGTGAGGACCAGCTGCAAAGACAGTGGGAGAGCTGCTGTGCAGGAGGCAAGGCCCAGATGTGAAGCAAGGCAGGCTTGGCTCATGCTAATGCTGGTCGTGGGCCTTTTATTGGTAGATTTGGGGCATGCTGTCACCAGCTGCCGCTTGTTTGAGAGATTTTAGCAAAGTCTGAAGTCTGATCCAGGACAGGACATTCATATGGAAAAGCTGCTGCAAACAGCTTGGGTGGGGCTGCAAATTTAATGGGGCGTGGATAGGGAATCCCTAGGGCAGAGCAAACAGTGTGGGCTGCTAGATATGGCTGACAGTCAGCCCTCTAATAGGGGAGGTCCCAGCACAGGAACAATGATCCTTGAAAGCACCGTCTCAGAGAAAGCCACCCTTGGTTCCTGCCCCGATGCCAGACAGTCCAGTTCCTCCTCATATGTGTCTGAGTCCTCCAGAGCCACCTGGTGCTGAAGTTCAGAGGTATTGAATCTAAGTATGTTTGTGCGCCAGCCCTTTAAAAGGAACAGCTGGGTCTCCAGCAGCCTCTGTGTCTCTTAGACACAATCCCCACTGGTTTTTACAGCCCATAGTTACAGGGACTTATCTTCCTAGTTCTGGAACCATGGGATGGGGGTCTGGTGTGGGGCTGGGACCCCTTGCTCCTCTTGGGCAGCTTCCGCAAAGATGATCTCCCTCCCAATTAAAAAAGCGACACAGGTGGGTGTCAGACCATCCTAGTCCGCGCCTCTGCCCCTCCTACCAGTCTCAATGTGCTTTCTTTCTTCTTTACTTCTCTAGTTGTAGGACTTCCATTCAACCAGCTTTCAGACGGTTCTGAATGATAGTGGTTCTGTATTTTAGTTGTAATTTCGATGTGGTTGTGGGAGGCAGCAAGTACAGGCATTTACCTATGTTGCCATCTTGCAAGGTCCCTGCCTATTTCTTTCTTTTTTTTACCTTTTGTTTGTCTTTATTACTTCTTTTTTTAAAAATTTTAAATTCTTTATTGTTTAAAGTATTACATATATCTCCTTTTTCCCCCCCATTAACCTCTTCCTGGCTGCTTTCCACTATCCCTCCCCCGGCCCCCCAGCACAATTCCCCTCCCCACTACTGTCTGTGTCCTTTGGTTATGCTTATATGCATGCATACAAGTTCTTTGGTTGATCTCTTACCCACCCCCATCCTCTACTCTTGCCTGCCTTCCCTCTGAGGTTCCACGGTCTGTTTGATCCTTCTCTGTCTCTGGATCTATTTTTGTTCATCAGTTTATGTTGTTCATTATATTCCACAAATTAGTGAGATCATGTGATATTTATCTTTCTCTAACTGGCTTATTTCGCTTAGCATAATGCTCTCCAGGTCCATCCATGCTATTGCAAATGGTAAGAGTTCTTTTTTTTTTTTTTTAATAGCAGCATAATATTCCATTGTGTAGTTGTACCAGTTTTTTAATCCACTCATCTGCTGATGGGCACTTAGGCTGTTTCCAAATCTTACCTGTTATAAATTGTGCTGCTATGAACATAGGGGTGCAGTTATTCTTTCTGATTGGTGTTTTCTGATTTCTTGGGATCCCTGCCTGTTTCTTACAGTTATGAAGGTTCAGTAGGTTCATTATCACTAAATAAAAGATGTTTTAGTTAAGGGCTTAAAGAGCAACAAGTAACAGCCTCATTTTATTGGGCATTCTTACTGATGGTCACAGTGGTGTAAATCATGGGTGGGCAGTCCTATAGGAATTTACCGTTCATTGCATACACACTTGGTGAACACTCTGTGGTCTATGAGGGGAGCCCTATCCCATAGGGGCCTCTCCTGAATGTGGGGCTGACCCCCTGCTTGTGGGTCAGGCAGAAGTCAGTTTTATTTTGGTAATATGCAGTTCTTTGAGGTAACTGGGGATGCCTAACAGAGGCTGCTGGGAAGCAAGCCTGATAGTTACTTGTCTAGAAGGCATGGTACCTCAGCCTCTCTTCCAGTTGCATCCTTTAAGTCACTGACATATGCCTGACCTAATGTATGAGGTGCTGGGGAATCAGGTTGGTGGTATGTATCTCACTCCTGCCTATCACTTGGGTTTCTGTTTTGACTCGAGCCAGAATATCATCAAAAGCTGCAAAATGAATATGTTCATGATATTTTTTCGGTTTCTTATAGGCTAGCCTGAAAGCTGACACAATAAATAAGCCCTTTGCACAGCGGTGCCAAGACTTGGTTAAAGTCATAGAAGATTTTCCAGCAAAGGTACAGCTCTGCTAGCATCTCTTTGGGGCATGTCTCATGCTATCCTTCAAAAATGTTCTTATAGTCCCTGGTTTCCACCTCTGAGCCCTGCCCTACACAGAGGCCTGACCGGCATTGTGACTGTCGCATATGTGGATACATTTAAACATGTGAACATGTAAGCCAGGGTTTTCTACCATGGATGCTTTTGTCCCACACGGGATGCTTGGCAGTGTCCAGGGACATTTTTAATTATCACAGAGGAGTGGTGCTACTGGTATCAAGTGGTAGAGACCAGCCACACTGGTAAAACGTCTCATAATGCACAGGGCAACCCCCACAACAAAGAAGTGTTCAGCCTAAAATGTCAACAGTACCAAAGTGGAGAAACTCTGGTGTAAATACTGAAAATGTGTGCTCCCATCACACCCAGAATTGTCAATTAGTAGTAAGTGAGGTAAGTTCAAGAAGCTGGCCTGGACAAGGAGTTACTACCAAATGACAGCAAGTCTCAGTTTCAAGGGCTCACTTTGAGAAGAACATTGCCACCCTTAGTAAAGATCTCTTTAAATATGGTGACTAATTTAACTGGCCCACATATAAAACAATACTGCTTGATATGCCCCATAACCACGATGAAAGGGTCCAAGGCTGCTGCTCTCCTGTTGGACTGTTGTGCCAGGGTTCCTGTGGGTGCCGGGCTGGTCCTGTGGGCTTTTGAACCAGGGAGTGAGCCCTCCATGCTCAGAGCTCAGGTCCAGCTAGGGAAGTGGGCAGCATGAGATGCAGGACCGGAGCTGGCACACAGCCCAGCAGTGAGCTCTGGTCCTCAGCAAGCCTGCCCAAGGCCTCATCCGCCCACTGTTTCAGGAGCTGCATGCCATCTTCCCATGGCTGGTAGAGAGCATTTTCGGCAGCTTGGACGGTGTTCTCATCGGCTGGAACCTCCGCTCCTTACAGGGACGTGTGAGCCCTGTCGAATACAGCATTGCGATGGAATTTCTAGACCCTGGGTAGGTAGGTTTGTCACCTGAGGAGCCGGATGTTTCCTCTGGTGATCCCACTTTTAAATCATTGTATTTTTCAAAGTTAAGAAACAAATCAAAGCAAGATGGTTTGCAGTTCATTTGCCTGCTTTTCTTGTCTTAATTTCATATTCAGTGGCCCAATGATGAAGTTGGTATATAAACTTCAAGCTGAAGACTATAAGTTTGACTTTCCTGTCTCCTACCTGCCTGTAAGTAAGCCCTGTGGTGAAAGCTGTGCTTGGGCAGAGACCCCAGACAGTGGCTGCAGTGGTGGTAGGTGGGCCGGGGCTCAGAGGGGCTGTCACACTGGGCAGGAGAATGCCATGGTATCTGTTCAGGGTCAAGGAGGCATCACAAATTGGAATTTTTAAGATCATCACAAATTCTGCTAATGGGAAAGGCACCATGCTGCCCGGTTTGCTACTGGCTAGATGATAGGCAGGGCCATGTGACTGATTACAACGGGTGACTTGCTCGGTGGGTATGAAAAGCAGAGGAGATGGGATTCATTAAGCTCATAAATGTGCACAGCTGCTGCCTTTGCTGTTGGTGGGTCTTTCTGATGATACTAGAGGCCCAGTGCACCGATTCGTGCACTGGTGGGGTCCCTTGGCCTGGCCCGTAGGGATGGGGCCGAAACCAGCAGTCCAACATCCCCCGAGGAGTCCCAAAATGTTGAGAGGGCACTTTGCAAAGCTGCTGTCACTCAGCAGCTCCTGCGTTGAGCGTCTGCCCCCTAGTGGCCAGTGCGTGTCATAATTAACAGCCCATCAGCCCGTCGCTTATGCGTTTATATATATAAATGAGAGATTCTAAGTGAAAGCTTGCTTAAGTACTATGCAGAAGGTAGTGCTGTTCCCATGAACAGGGTCCATGTGCTGGCCGCCTCCTCAGCAGCCTTCCCAAAGGGCTGCACACATGGGGCACTGAGCCAGAGCCTGCCTGCGAGCCTGCCTCCCTCTCTCCACAGGGCCCCGTGAAGGCATCCATCCAGGAGCACGTGGTCCCTGATAGCCCTCTATACCACAATAAGGTCCAGTTCCCTCCCACCGGGGGCCTCGGCCTGAACCTGGCCCTCAGTATCCTTTGCTGACCCCGTGGGTAGGGAGGCTGGGGTGGCCAGCACAGTGTGGGGCCAGTGGGGGTGCGGTGGCCCAACTGCCCTGCCGTTTGTCCCCTGATCCTGCCTTCAGATCCGTTCGAGTATTACATGTTCTTTTTCGCTTTGAGCCTCATCACTCAAAAGGTACAGAAGGGAGTCCTCTGAACAGAGTTCGCTTTACTGGAAACCCCTGAGAGGGTGGGGGGCGTGGCCCTGGGCTCTTGTTTTCACCCAGCAAAGGGAGCTTGGAATTTGCCTGAGAGCCAGCTGCCAGCCTTGCTTTGTCTTCCATTTCTCCTTTTCCCTTCCGGCCTCATTTCTCTGGGTCTTCCTTTCCTCCCTCCTCCAGTCACTTAGGGCAATAGACTGGTGGGCGGACTTGACAGGTGATGTCGGGTGACAGGCACCCTAAGTGGCAGTCAGGGGGCTTCCCATAGGAGGTGCTTACCAGACAGTGGGGCAGAGTGGAGGGGTCACAGGTGGGTAGGACTGAGGGTTAGTCAGGCTGCCTGTGATGGGGGCTTTTCTCCTGGCACCACCCTCAGTGTGTGTGGGCTGGCCTCAGGGAAGCAGCCACATCCCAAAGCTTTTGTGTGATTGCTGGGGTCAGCAGCCTGGGGTGGGGCCCAGCGCGACCCACTAACTGGAGTTTTGTTTTTTAGCCACTCCCCGGGGCCCTCCATGTTCGTACTTCAGACTGTGCCTATTTCATCCTGGTGGACAGGTACCTATCATGGTTCCTGCCCACAGAAGGCAGCGTGCTCCCCCCACTCTCCTCCAGTCCCGGGGGGCCCAGCCCCTCACCAGCTCCCAGGTAAGGCTCTCCGGCTACCCTGGCCTTGGCCAGAACCTGAGGTATCCCGTGCCTGCCACTAGCTATTCTACAAAGGAGTAGCCTGGTCACTGAGCACTGCTCATGCAACAATGGTGCCCACTCTGTCCAGGGCTCCCCAGTTTCTCTTATGCCTGAGATGCCCCTACCCCAGCTGCCATGGCACAGACTAGAGTGCAGGGGTAAGGAGGATGTCTGTTTTGGTTTTCAGTGACCATCCCTGAAGTGGTCAGGCCCTGTGGCTGCATGGCCCTGCTGTGAGGACGGGCTGTGTTCTGCCCATAGCATCCTCCCCACATGCAACATCCATTCCCTGCACTGAGGTGCTAATGTTCTCTGTATGGTCCCAATTTTAGTATATGTGCTGCTGAAGCAGCAGCGTTGTTGACCAAAACATTGTTATGTGATCCATGAAGTAGTAGGAATCTTTGTGACTCGAGAGCCAGGTCTTGGCCTGAGCCAGAGTTCCTGGGATGGAGAGCCTTTTATGTCAGTGAGCAGGCCGTTACTGTGCAGCCTGGAGGTGAACGGGGCCCTTTAGCTGGCTCTCCCCAGGAGATCCTCCTGCCCTAACAGCCACTGCCTGTGCTCCTCTGACCCTCCTCCACCTCACTGGCCCAACTCCTTCCCTGGGAGGCTGCAGGCAGGCTTTCCTGTACATGCTAGCCCACCCCACATCTGGCACATGCCATACCCCAAGCTCACAAATACGGACAGATGCCCCCAAGGAAAGGGGATTGAAAGAGGAGAAGGGGGCTTTGAGGTGGGCCAGAATCACGCCTTCTCACAGGCAGACTGCAGCTGCCAAATGGTTTTCTGGGCCTGATTTTGTCTGCTTATTTTTACATATTTAAGACTTACAAAAAAGTTGCTATGCATAACATAAAGAACTACTATAGACCCTTCAGCCAGAGATTTCTAAATTGTTTTTATCCTCTATCTGTATGTTTTTCCTGGGTCCTTTACGTAAGTTATAGATATGATGCCCATTATCTCTTAATATTTCAGAGTGTATCTCCTAATAGTGAGTACACACTCCTTCATAACCACAGCACTTCTCTCCAAGTCAGGGAGCAGGGATTGCTACAAGGCCACTGTCTAATCCTCAGACCCCACTGGGGCTTCACCAGCTATCCCATCAATGGCAGTTACCCGAGTAGGATTCAGCTCAGGGTCACTTACTACATACAGTTGTCTCTATAGTCCCCTTCAATCTGCAACTGGATCTCAATCTTTCCTGACCTTGACACCATTGTAGCATGCAGTCTAGGTGCGTGCAGAGTGCCCTGGACCTGGGTTCTCGGGTATTTTCTTATGATCGGGCCCAGGTTGGACATTGTTTGGTAGGAGCTCTGCAGCGGTGACTCATGGTGTCCATGTGCCCCATTATAGGCGACATTAGCTTGATCACTGGGCTAAGGGGGGGGGGGGGTTGGCCATGTTTTCCTGCTGTAAAGTTAAATAAGTACTTTGTGCCAATAATAATTAACAAGAGGAATTTAATGGGAAGATATTGTGAAACTGTATACTTATCCCTTAATGTTAGCATCCCTTGGTGCTCCTTGCCCAAATCAGTTATTAATGGAATGGTGCCAAGTGATGAATTTTTAAATGTCATCACTTCTTTGTTTACTAGGGAACATTCTCTTCCCATTTGTTTGTATAAATCCACATGGGCTGGGTAGTCATTGTATGATTCAACAGGTTGTAATTGTTATTGTGGTCATTGATTTTGATGCCCAAGTTGCCCCTAATGAAGGCCTGTTTCTCTGTCTTCCTCAGGACTCCAGCCATGCCTTTTGCTTCCTATGGCCTCCACCACACCAGTCTTCTGAAGCGACATATATCTCATCAGACATCTGTGAACGCAGACCCTGCCTCCCATGAGATCTGGAGGTCGGAAACTCTACTCCAGGTGAGAACTGAGGCAGCTCCGCTCTGCTTCCATTTCAAAATAAACTGCTCACCACTTTCCACCCCATGGGCCAGAGGCCTAAGGACTGCCGCTGAGCTGGATGGTGCTTCTGAATTGTCAATATTTCCCTTCTGTGACATTTAGAAAAATAGGCGGGAAGAAATTGACCCACCTATCTAACCTGTATCTCATTGCCAGTGTTTTTCATCCCAGGATTTCCTGTGCAGGGTTTTGTTTTGTTTTTCTCATGGTGATGTAATCACTGCCCAGTCTTGTAGTTTACAATAAATCTGAGTAAATGTTCTCACCACCCCACCTTTCTGACGCGCTCCCATGTGGTTGGGAAGGTTCCTGTGATCACTGTCATGTGGATATTAAATCCTGCACCGGCTACATTTTTATGATGCTTAATAGAGAGGGCCTTTGAAGCCTTCACCTTGGTCAGCAGGCAGCCCCCGGCCCTTTTGTACTAGGAACCCACAGGGGAGGTGGCAGTGCCCCATGTCAGTCTGTCCCCCAGGCTTGGTCTGGCTCACTCCTGCAGCGCAGCGCTGGCCGCCTTCCGGGCCTTGCTGTCTCACCGTGGAGAGAGAGGTTAGTCTGGTTCTGACACAGGATTCTGGGGCTGAGATGGCAACCACAACATTGCTTATTGGCAACCTGGAGTGGATAAGATGGGGTTCTGTCCCTCCCACCTGGTACATAACTCTTGGCGTGGGGGTTGCTGTGTTTTTAGAGGCTTCCATGTTATTGTCAGCAGCACTGGGAGGTGGGGCATCTGGAATCATCTTCCCTGTTCACTGAGGGGCCCAGTGCTTCAGTTGGCACCCAGCTGAGTGGGCTCTGGGTTCTGCCAGCCGTGAGGAGGGCAGGTGACCAAGGCATGGGCTTATAGGACAGAACGGGAGGGTTGTTTTAATTTTTATTTTTTTGAATTATGGTAAAATACACAGTTTACTATCTTAACCACTTTAAAGTATTCTAAAATTGTTGTAATTGATCTCAAGACTTTTTTATCTTGAAAAATTGAAGCTCTGTGCCCACTAATCAATAATTTCTCATTCCTCTTCTCCCCCAGCCCCTGGCAACCACTATGCTACTCTATTTCTATGAATTTGACCTACTCTAGGTGCCTATATAAGTGGAATCATGATTTTATTTTATGACTGACTGACTTCACTTAGTATAGTGAACCTTCAAAGTTCATCCATGTTATAGCATGTGTTAGAATTTCCTCCCTTTTTTAGGATATTTAGTAATATCCCATTGTATGTAAATAATCACATTTTGTTTATCCATTCATCTGTCAATGGACACTTGATTTACTTTCACTTATTGACTATTATGAATAATGCTGCTATGAACATGGATGTGCAAATAGCTCTCCTAGACCCTGCTTTCAATTCATTTGAGTATATACCCAGAAGTGGATTGCTGGGCTATCTAGTAATTGTTAAATTTTTTTAAAAAACAGGAAAAATACTGTTTCCACAGTGGCTGCACCATTTTGCATTCCCACCAGCAGTGCACAGAGGCTCCAGTTATTTCACATCCTCTCCAACACTCATTATTTTCTGTTCTTTTTATGACACCCATCCTATGGATATGAGGTGGTATCTCATTGTGATTTTGATTTGTTGCTCTAATGATTAGTGGTATTGAACATCTTTTCATGTCCTATTGGATATTTGTCTTATCTTTGGAGAAATGTCTAAGTCTTTTGCCCATTTTTTAATTGTGCTGTTTGTTTTTATGTTGCTGAGTTTTAGGCAGTCTCTGTATATTTTAGGTGTTAATCCTTTATCAGATACATGAATTGCAAATACTTTCCTCCATTCTTTGAGTTGCTTTTTTATTCTATGATATCTTTTATTTATTTATTACTTTTAAAAATGTATTTTTATTGACTTCAGAGAGGGAAAGAGAGATAGAAACATCAGTGATCAGAGAGAATCATTGATCAGCTGCCTTCTGCATGCCCTCCACTGAGATTGAGCCCGCAACCCGAGCATGTGCCCCGACCAAGAATCAAACCATAACCTTCTGGTTCATAGGTCGACCTTCAACCACTGAGCAACACTGGCCGGACTGTCTATAACAGTGATGGCGAACCTCTGACACGCGTGTCAGAGGTGACACGCGAACTCATTTTTTTGGTTGATTTTTCTTTGTTAAATGGCATATAAATATATAAAATAAATATCAAAAATATAAGTCTTTGTTTTACTATGATTGCAAATATCAAAAAATTTCTATATGTGACACGGCACCAGAGTTAAGTTAGGGTTTTTCAAAATGCTGACACGCCGAGCTCAAAAGGTTCGCCATCACTGGTCTATAATATCTTTTGACACACAAAAGTTTTTCATTTTCATGAAGTCCAGTTTGTCTATTTTTCCTTTGTTGCCTGTGCTTTTGAAGTCATGTCTAAGAAATAATTGCCAAATTCCATATCATGAAGGTTTCTCCCCGTGCTTCTAAGAACTTTATCATTTTAGCTCTTACATTTAGGTCTTTGATCCATTTTGAGTTATTTTTTGTTTATGGTGTTAAGTAAGGATCCAACTTCATTCATTTGCATGTGGATATCCTGTTTCCCAGCAGCATTTGTTGAAAACACTGTCCTTTCCTCCATTGAATAGTCTTCACACTGTTGCTAATTCATTTAACCAGCTAATAAATACTCTTTTGCAGGTTTTTGTTGAAATGTGGCTTCATCATTATTCCTTGGAGATGTACCAAAAAATGCAGTCCCCTCATGCCAAGGTATGTTGCCATAGTTTCTTTCCATCCCCTGCTCTTGTCCTGGTATGCCTGGTCAGCCTGCTACTTTCTATCCTTGATGTCAGTTTTCAAGGGCTGGATGGTGGGAAACCACCCCTCCCTCAGATGCTGACCAGCAGGTGGTTTGGTTCTGTGGTGGGCTTGCACCCCGAGGGCTGGAGGCCTCTTGTCTGGGGTCCTCCTGAGCTACTTCCAGAGCCCCCTTGTGGCAGCAGGAACAGATGAGGTGGTGGTGCTCATGCTCTGCGGGCAGGGGAGCTGCTGATGCTTCTGGGAGCTGTGTCTGGTCTGTCATGTCTGTCATCACAGCGCCTCCTGCTTTCCTGCTGAGGGGTGCCTGACAGACCCCGGCCACCCTGGGTCTCCACCTTCTGCACATCAGCAGGCTTTGTGGTGGGTGGAGTCTGACATCCTCCTGCATGTGGCCTGGCCTGTTTCCTCCTCCTCCTCACCTCTCCCCCTTCTCTCACTGGGCTACGTGTGTGTAAAGCTGTGGAGGTGGCCGAGACCCTGGCACCCTCTGGGGGTGCTGTCCCAGGGCCCATAGCCCACTGGACTGACTTGTCAGGGTAGAACAGTTCTGTTCAGTTAGTAAGATGGGCACTTAGGCTCCTACTCCGTGAGACTGCAGTGCCAGGCTTCTCTGTACCAGGTTGCTTCTGTCACTGCCAGACAAAATTCTCATAAGCTTCCTTGGGAATGAAGGATCTATAGTTTTTATAAAAATGGTAAATGGCTGTCTGTAACTTTTGCTCTGTGATTCTGGGGAGAAGTGGGGGTTCTGCTCCTGCTGCAGAATCTCAGCAACCAGTTCTGTGGTCCCAGTGCTCTGCCCAGTGGTGGGTTGGGGTGCAGCCCTCCCACCGCTGCTCTTTTAAAGTCCCCAAGTCTGCTTCCTTGGTGTCACATAGGAGGAGGAGGAGGAGGAGAACAGGGGACTCCATCCTGGGCCTCTCAGGTCACAAAGCCCTTGCACTGCTCTTCCATCTTCCAGAGCTGACTCTGCATGTTCCTGGCTGGTGCACGGTGGTCAGGGGTCCTGGGAGGCTCCTCAGCCCCTGTGCACGTGGCTTGGTCTTGCAGAGGCCGCATCGCTGCACTGCCTTCCTTGTCTGCTTGTTCCGTCTTCCGAGCCAGTGGAAGCATGCCGCTTTCATTTTCAGCAGATAGCGAGGCAGAAAGGCCTTTCTAGTCTGAGTCCACATGGGGAAGAGGCAGTGCCTGTCCTTGCCAAAGCAGGAGGGCCTTCCCCTTCTCCCCACATTTGCTTCCTCCTCTTGGTCAGACCACAGGGTGTGTGAGAGCTGCTCAGGATGTCTCGGGTGGGGGCGGAGGGGGTTGTTCTCACCTGGCATCAGAGAGGTTCTGCCCTTTCCCGCCTATTGAGGTAGAAAAGCAAAACCTGAAACAACTGGGTGTGTAGGAAGCCGGGAAAGACAGCTGTGGAGGTCTGCTTCATCTGAGGTCCCTTAGCGTTTATCCAGGCCCATGCTGCCTGCACTGCACCATACGGAAACTCTTGTGAGTTTTGGTTTCAGGGAGGCAGGGAGTGTAGCACCTGGAAATCCCCAGTGTGTCTGTGGCTGAGCTGGGCTGGGCTGGGTGCAGAGTGCATGCTCGCTCCCTGGAGGCCTGGCCTCCATTCCACTCAGCTTGCTGAGTGGGGCTTCTGGAAGGGCAGTAAGGATGGCCACAGCCCTGCAGGCTGGTATGAGGCTGCCCTGTGTCCCCACTGGCCAGGACAGGAACCCAACAGGAAAACTGTATGCCCTGATTCCTCCTGAGGGCTGCAGCTGAGCCCAAGGTCTGGCCTGAAGGAAGGCTGTGAATGGCCAACTCCTTCTTGCTGTGCTCCTCCTCACCCCTGCGCCGCGTGTCTCTGGCTATGCCTGTCCCTTGGAGGCTGGCACACTCATTCTGACCTCTCCTGTGTGAAGCATGCTGCTCAGCCCACGGCATGGCCCTCGCAGGGCGGGATGTGTGCCTGGACTGGCTCTTAGCTGTGCTTGGCTGACAGAGCGCTGCTTTTGCAGGCCTTGGTGCTGCAGGGAGGGAGGGTGGAAGGTCCTGGGTGGGGCCAGGCAGCATGGGAGCTCAGCTGTCATCTCCAGCATCCCAGGCTCAGGGAGTGTGTGACCATGGCCAGATTCTTGCCACTGGGACTAATGAAAGGCTCTGTGTATCTGGAGGGTTGGGGTCCCGGTGAGGCAGAGAGAGGCTGGTCTTCCCAGAATTAGATCCAAGGAGTGCTTGTGTCTCCTTTAACCATTTCCGGAATGTTGAGTGTGGAGGGCGTTTGGTGGGGCCTGGTGGGCTGAGCTGTGCTCACTGTGTGCTGCCTTTAGGAACCAGCCCCCATCAGGACAGAACACCGATTGGATCTTAGACACATAGGAATTGTGCTGGTCAGTTTCCCTCAGGACAAGCCAGGGAAGCCCAGGCAATTACATAGCTGTTTCTTGGCAGAGAGGCCTCCATTAGAATGGGGTCCTAAAGAGTTTCTCTCCGGAGGCTCTGGCCTTCAGGGCCTTGGTTGTTGGCACCTGGGCTCCTCGTGGGCTGTGGTTGCGTGTCCAGGGCCCTCAGGGTCAGGGGAGAGCGGGACCTCAGGAGGGAAAGTGAGTCAGGCCGACCTCGGAGAGCTGGAGAGGCTTTCAGGCCCAGTGGCATGGAGGGGCCTCCGGTCGTCTGAAGGGTCTGTTCACGCCCTGCCTGGCAGGTGCTGCTAGGAGGGGCGGTCTGGGTTGCCATGAGGGTGGTCGCACTGGCCTGAGGCTGCTGGGCTGTGGTTATTAGGATTGTCACTGACATGCTTTTGTTTTTGTTTTTTGTTTTTGTTTTTTCTCTTACCTCTGGGCTCTCACTTTTTTCTTTTCCCCTCTCTCCCCTCCCCTTCCTCCGCCTTCTCTGGCTTCTGTTTTGTTGTCTCAGCTGGAGGTTCTGCACTACCGACTCAGTGTCTCCAGCGCCCTTCACAGCCCTGCCCAACCCAGCCTCCAGGCCCTCCACGCCTACCAAGTACTGGCTGCTCTTGATCTGTTCCGTTTCACCCCTGCCCTGTGGTGTAGGCCACAGAGCTCATGTCAGTGCAGTGGTAAAGCGAGGGCATGGCTGGGGGCCTGCTGGGGGTGATACAGAGACCGTTCCACACACAGCCAGGCCCTGGGGCTTGAGGGTGGCCTGGCCCAGCCTCCAGATTTGTAGACTAGCCAGGGTTTGGGATGTGCAGCCATGTGGCAGGAAGTGAGGCACATGATCCCTGCTGGCTGTGGGGTCATCAGATCTTCCTGGTCATGCCTCAAGCCAGTTGAGGTATCACAAGGTCTTATGTGTTGTGGCGGCTCCATGCTTGGCCCTAGTTTGAGGAAGCGAAATATTTTTGCTTTTGCTGTAGAGCCCAACTCACCCTGCGGTTCAAGCCTGTACTTGAAGTGACTGAGGCCACGAGGCCCGGGGCTGCAGTTCTGCTGAGCTGAGCCTGTGTGTGAGGCAGAGGCAGGAGAACTTTGGGCTTGGTCCTCCGGCCTGGAAATGCTGTCAGTTCTTGGATGACCCAGGCCTGGCCTTCTACAGGCCCAGTCTTGTGACCTCATGGAGACTGGTCTGCTTCGGCAGAAATGAATAGTGTGACAGAGTTGAGGCCAGCAAAGTGGAGTTCAGCCCTGTAGGGTGTTTCAGGACTGACAGCCTCATAGTTCATTGATGTATGAGATGAGGCCGGAAGTCTGGGCAGAAACGGCCGAGTGGTGCATGGAGCCGTGCTCGGAGCCTGTCTGTCTCACTGTCCGTGGGAGCACACGTTGAATTTGAACACAAGGTGCAAAGTTTTGTTTTGCTGGGATAGGTTGTCAGTGCGCAGCACATATTGGGGTTTCTGCTCAGAAGCAGCAGCTGCAGTGAGGAGGGAAGAGCATGTTCCAGAAGGTTCAGTGTGGGCCAGCTGGGCACAGAAGTTGGTGCCGCTCCAGCCTCTATTGGGGAGGGTCCCTGGAGAAACGTCTGGCTGCATTCACTCTGCAGCAGGAGGGCCAAGAGCCTGGAATGGGCTTTGGAAAAGTGTCCCTAAAAGGAGGCCACCTGCCACGTAACCAGAGATTCCTGTGGGGCTTTGGCTCAGGAGGGTGTGGAGCTGGAAGACTGGCTTGACAAACCTAGAGGGAGCATAGCCGATGGGGTTACAGTGATTGCTGGGGGCCTGGGCAGGGAGCCGGCTCTCCAGAAATCCCAGGAAGGATGGGTCGAGATGGGATTGGGGATCCTGGTTCCCCTGTCCACGGCCAGGTAAGAGGGAGAGGTCAGGAATGAGAAGGGGGAGGGTTTTGAGCAGGAAGTTCTCAGGTCTGATATTGATGCCCTTCTAATCTTATATTATTAAAATAGCCCATGCTTTTTGCTTTTTTCTTCAGAACAAGGCAGATTCATTGCATAAAGACTTTAAAATGCAAATAAGCAGAAGGAAATCACCTTAGTAGCATAGTATCATCCCTAGACGTGGGGGGGCGGGGGGTGTCACCTGGGTCTGTGGAGGCATTTCCATGGCAGAGAGTGACATGGATGTGGGCAAGGTCCATTAGGCTGGCTTCCTCAGCCCATGAGAGGTCTGTGACTGGGCTGTGCTCAGCACTGCTCTGGGTTGGGATGAGGCTGCCAAGAGCTCTTCTGAGTTTGTTGCGGCCCTAAAGAGCTCAGGTGAGTGTGGGGAGAGGAGCATGTTGGTCTGGACAGCCAGAGTGCGGGGCATGGGGCAGTGGGTCCTGCCTTCCCATGTGGCCTCCGCCACTCGGGGCTTCACCCTGCACTCCATCCCTGAACAGCTGGCAAACAGGCTTTGCTCTGGGTCTGGTTCTCAAAGATCCTACAGGACTCTGAATCAAAAGTTCAGCTCACAAGATTGACAGTGTTCTTGTCTTTGGGGTTGTGCTGACCAATAGGTCCATTAGCAGCAGAGGGAGGACTGTGTCTAGAAGGGAGAGCAGGTAGAAGGTGGGCTGTGGCAGGAAGAGGAGCTGGAGAGGTTCATCTGGAAAGGGGAAGCTATGGCCATGGCAACCTGTCTGCACACACCTGGGAGGCAGGGGAATAGCGAGTCCAGACCCCAGGTGAGATAGCAGCCTGCCCGCCCCCTGCTCCTCCTCATCCTCTGGCTGGCCAGGAGGTGAGGACCCCTGGCGACCTAGATGGGCAGCAATGACAAGTCACCCACAGAGGGTTTGAAAAAGGGGTTTGAAGCCTGTAGAGAAGCACTTGGACCTTGGATTTTTAGCAGCTCTCCCGAGGCACACTGTGCAGGCTTCGCCACTCTTAGCTTGTCTCGGACCCTGCAGTGCCAGGGTCATCAGCGGGTGGCAGGTATGGGTGGGGCCCCAGGTGGTCCAGCTTTCAGCCTGGCCCATGCATCCTGTGGGGAGAGCAGAGAGATGGGCCCTGCTGGGATGTGTTCAGACCTGGGGGTTCAAGCTCAGAAAACCTGGATCCTGACATTACACCCCTCTCAACCTTAGGAGTCATTCACGCCCACTGAGGAGCACGTGCTGGTGGTGCGCCTGCTGGTCAAACACCTGCACGCCTTTTCCAACAGCCTGAAGCCCGAGCAGGTCTCGCCCTCCGCCCATTCCCATGCCACCAGCCCCCTGGAGGAATTCAAACGGTGGGTATGGGGCTGTATGCAGGGCTGCTGTGCTTCAGCCTGCCTCCTTGTGCTCCGCACACATGCTGCCCACTGACTTTCCCCAGGGCGTGTGGGGCCTCACCTTGTCCCCTCCTGGCTCTGGCTCCTCATCCCTACCCTGGCCCCAAAGGTGGGTGGGGCATCCAGCTGCTTCTCTGGCTGCCATGGCCTGTCCCTCCAGGCCTGCCCTCTTCATTAGAAAGCCAGGCTGCAATTGGTTAGAGCATCATGCCGATACGCCAAGAGCCAGGCTGGCCAGGAAAGGCCCTGTCTTGTATGCTCTTGTCCCTTCCTCCAGTGGCAGGCACAAAGGCCAGTGGCTAGGAGGGCCTTCTCAGCAGAGTGGCTCAGTTGTCACAGGAGATTGGGTTCTATGCTGCCCCCTTCCCCTCCTCAGGCAGGGAAGGGGCTGGGGTGGTGAGCCAAGCTGACAAGTGTACAGGAGCCACACTGGATTGGCCACGTGTGCTGTGTATCCTTGGAATGTCCCCTTACCTCTCTGAGCCATGGTTTCTTCCTCTGAAGAATGGGGCTAAAAATAGGAAGTCTCAGCCCCAGAGGGAACCCAGTGCCCCTCCTGGCAGAGCTGGTCCTTAAAGCAGGAGCCGCTGGGCTCACTTGTGAGGTGACCCACTTCCTCTCCATAGGGCTGCTGTCCCGAGGTTCGTCCAGCAGAAGCTCTACCTCTTCCTGCAGCACTGCTTCGGCCACTGGCCCCTGGACGCGTCCTTCAGAGCCGTGAGTGTCAGCCCGTTAGCCTCACTGAGCTGCACTTGGCCCCCTTCTGAGGGGACACTGAGAGTGACCATCCGAGGGGTGCACTGAGCACCCCTGTGTGTCCTCTCAGGGCAGTGCAGGAAGAAGCCAGATGGTGGCACCCCTGCCCACCCCTGCAGAGCAAAGCCCTGCAGCTGGAAACGTGCCCCTGCTCCCTGAGCTCCCTCCTGGGCCAGATGGCCCAAGGATCAGGCCCAACGCCTGCCCCCACCGCCCACTGTGTCCACGTGTCTCGCCAGGTCCTGGAGATGTGGTTAAGCTACCTGCAGCCCTGGAGGTACGCGCCTGAGAAGCAGCCTCAGGGTAGTGATGGCCAGGCCCGCTGTGTGTCTGAGAGATGGTGAGCCTGCACCCTGCCCCCCCAGGGGGGCTGCTTCGGGGCCCTCGGGATTCTTCTCTGAGGGGGAGCACAGGCCACCCGCGCCCCACTTGATGCTGCTGTGTCTCGCCTGGGATTGGTTTCCTGTGGAAATAGCAGGTCACCCTCTTCCCCTGTCTCCTTGCCATTATTGTCTCACTCAGGTCTATGTTCACGCTCACCCCCAAACCTTCCTCACCAGTTCGTTCATAGCAGCCACCGCACTTCCCCACCATCTCCCAGCTGGCCCCCAGGCTTCCGTCGGCACCCCTCTGGTGCCCTGGCCAACTTTTGCCATGGTTTTGGTCATCTCGGAAAGGGCCTCATTCTAGGGATAGTCCATTGTCCTTGGGGGCCTAGGCCTTGCCAGTCTGTCCTGCCTCCTCCCTGGACACCGCCAGACCTTCTCAGCCACTGATCTTGACACCTCTGTGTGGAAGATCTGGCCCCTGAGTAGCTGCCGGTCCCCAGGGCGCCCTTTGTGCAGGAGAACCTGCTGCTGTACACCAAGCTCTTCGTGGGCTTCCTGAGCCGCGCGCTGCGCACTGACCTGGTCAGCCCCAAGAACGCACTGATGGTGTTCCGAGTGGCCAAAGTCTTTGCCCAGCCCAACCTGGCTGAGATGATCCAGAAAGGTAAGCCCTTAGCCAGGGGGACCCACAGACCCTGTCTGTGCCTCACAGGCTTGTGGGGGGCCTTGGCAAAGGGTGTTGTAGGGAATCCTGGTGCCCAGAGCAAGAGGAAGGTCTGAGCCTGGCTGAACCCCATCTTCCCCGTGCTCAGCGCACCTGGCAGAGCGGGGTGCAGATCTCTGAGCTATCTCCCTGGTGACTTGCGGCAGTCAGGTGCCCGTCCTGCTTTCGTCTGAGCCAGCTTTGTTGGGCATTAGCTTCTTATGCTACCTCGTGGCGAGTGTTGGCTTCCTGTTGAGACTGGCAGGGCTCAGAGCATCAGGACCTGGGCTCCCTCGCTGCATGTTCACTGCCGTTCGGGAACTCAGGAGGCACTTAGGGAGCCTGCCAGCAGCAACTGGATATTCTGTGTCCTTGGAAGCCAAACCCAGGCTTGTGTCCTGCTTTCCAGGCGAGCAGCTCTTCCTGGAGCCCGAACTCGTCATCACCCACCGCCAGCACCGACTCTTCTCGGCTCCCACACTCACCGGCAGCTTCCTGTCATCTTGGCCGCCGGCCTTCACCGACACCTCCTTCAAGGTGAAGAGCCATGTCTACAGCCTGGAAGGCCAGGACTGCAAATACACCCCGATGTTCGGGCCAGAGGTCCGGACGCTGGTGAGTGAGTCGGCTCAGCCAGTCACGGCCATCCTGAACCTCTGGGACAGTGAGCCAAGAAGGGTGCACACATCTGGGGGGAAGGAGGAAGACTAGGTGTTGAGGAGACACTAGTACTCCCTCCTCCCCTTTTAGGTTCAGTGAAGGCTAATTTTTTTTTCTAATAATAGAGGCAGTGTTTGTTGGGCATTTCCCACATTTAGAATATGCAGCTTGGTTTTTGAACATCATTGTAATGTGGAAGCCACCCTCCTGGCCCTTGGCAGGCTTCCCGGGGACCACCTGGTGGGGGCTGGGTGCCATGAGGTGGCCACCAGAGCTCAGTGACCTCCCGTCTGCCCACAGGTCTTGCGCCTGGCTCAGCTCATCACGCAGGCCAAGCAGACAGCCAAGTCCATCTCTGACCAGTGCAGGGAAAGCACAGCCAGTCGCCCTTTTCTGTCCTGGCTGGGCTTCTGCCTTTCGGACACAAACAGCTCCTACCCAGCCAATGACCTGGACGACATGGGGCAGGACAGCATCCGCAAGACAGACGAGTACCTGGAGAAGGCCCTGGAGTACCTGTGCCAGATGTTCCGAGTATGAGCCGTGAGGCCATTCCCTCCCCAGATTTGGTCCCGTGCCCTCACCCCACTGCTTAGCCCGGGACCAGCCACAGACCAGGACCTAGTCTGGGCTCCTGCGGGAGAGGCAGGCCTGTGCCTGCAATGTTGTCTGGGTCCCATCGTTGTTAGAGGCCGAGGGGTTGAAGACCAATTTGCTCCCTTCACCTGGAAACTGAAGCAGTAGTTTCTCCCTGACAGCTCAGTGAGGCCCAGCTCGCCCAGCTCACTCTCGCCATGGGAACAACTCAGGATGAGAACGGCAAGAAGCAGCTCCCGGATTGCATCGTGGGTGAGGACGGACTCATCCTCACCCCCCTGGGCCGGTACCAGGTAAGGCCCATGTCCCAGAGGGGCCTGGCTCTCCAGGGCTTTCGAGATAGCACACGGGTGGTCCCACCAGCCTGTCCCCGTCCCCCATAATCAGAGACAACTTTGCTGAGTTGTTTGCAAAGGTGTGTTTTCTGGACGGCTCCTGAGGCCCCGCTGTCCCCTGGGGCTCACCTCTCCTGCTGCTTCCAGATCATCAACGGGCTGCGGAAGTTTGACATCGAGTACCAGGGGGACTCGGAACTGCAGCCCATCCGAAGCTATGAGATTGCCAGCCTGGTCCGCTTGCTCTTCCGGCTGTCCTCCACCGTCAACCACAGGGTGAGTGGGGTGGGAAGCCACATCCTCAGCTCAGCGTCCCTTCCATCCTAGAGCTTCACGGAGGGGCTGGTGGAAAGTGTGGCCCCTGCCTGTTGCCCACTCCCCTGTGCCTCTCTGTCTGTGCTCTAGTTTGCAGGCCAGATGAGAGCCCTGTGTTCCCGGGCTGACTTCCTCGGCAGCTTCTGTAGATACCACCTCATGGAGCCAGGGCTGACCGACAAGCACTTGCTGAGCCCCGTGGGGCAGGGGCGTGTGGCCAGCCGTGCCCGGGGCCCCAGGCTCAGCCTTCATTTCCTGGGCAGCTACCGGACGCTGCTGTCACTGCTGCTGGCCTTCTTTGTGGCCTCTCTGTTCCGCATCGGGCCCCTGCCCTTTGCCCTGCTCCTCGTGCTGGGCTACTTCCTCTACGCTGCGGCCATGACACTGCTGACGGAGCAGGGCAAGCTGCACCAGCTCTGACCACAGCCAGCCTCTCCCCACACTGCCCCTCCCGTGTACCTGGGAGGCCACCTCCGCACCTGAGCCTGGTCACCGTCACGCTTCCAGGGAGCATTTTCCTGTAGCCTCCGAACCGTTTGGAAGAGAATGAAGGAGAAGGGCACACAGTCCAGACTTGGCCAGGAAGAGAGCAGCGTCCAGGGCCCATGAGCTACGTGGGATGGGGACAGACCGGGGCCGGCCACGGGCCTTCCTCCTCCCTCAGCCGGAGGCTCCACAAGAAGATGGTCAAGGCTTTTCTCTTTTTAACTGTTTCAGGGTTTAGCCATGCGAAGCCAAGGAGTCTGTGCTTCCGGGGGGCGGCGGCCTCGCTGTCCTGAGGCGCGCAGTGTGGCCTCAGTCTCCGCCCTGGGTGACCCCAGGACAGCAGCTCAGCCTCTGGCTCCAGAGAAGGACCAAAGACCCTAAAAGCGACGCCTGAGAACATTAAATGGCGATTCTCGGAGCCCTCATTTTCAAACTACATCTGCCACCACACTTGGCAAAACAAGGGTTATTCATCGTGTTCTCCCAGCGACGGGAAGTCTGGGCCATACAACCCTGCTTTTGAGGAGAAAGGGTTCTTCGGGTGCTCGGTGGGACACCTGGCTTCCCTCAGCCCCCAAGTCAGCAAGACCTCGTTCAGGGGTGGCCCGTGTCACCACCTTGTCCTTCAGGACGGGCTCTCGTCCCCCGCAGGCCTAGGGGATCAGACAGGACCGCCCGGTCCCTCTGCCAGCTTCTGGTCTACAACCAAAGATGATCAAAAGCGTTTGTACCTTCAATAAAATCAAGTGTGCAAAGACAGTAACCTTTCGATACCACTTAAATATTAAAGTTACACAACAATTACATGTTCACTGTCAGAATTCCCCACGGGGTCCCACACCTTTCATTATACAGATGACACCAGAGGGAACAACTCTTTGAAGAGGGATTTAAACCAGCCATCTCGTGGGGGGCGGGGAGTGTTGTTTTATATTTTGATGTGAATTCCATATCGTGGTATTTGGTAGCCTGTGACCAAAAATCCAACCAGGCTTGTAACCCATTCTTAACCCTGAGTCTTCGGTGCCTGGGCTCAGCCTGCTGGGTGTCCTGTCACCCCTCAGCTAGCACAGCCCCCAAGCTAGGTCTAAGCCAAGGGTGGGGAACCTGCTTTCTGCCAAGGGCCATTGGATATTTATAACATCATTCGCAGGCCACACAAAATTACCAACTTAAAAATTAGCCTGCTGCGAGAACCGAGGTGGCAGTGCAAACACCTGTACTCTGCGCCTCCCGCAACCACATCAAAATTACAACTAAAATGCAGGGCAACCATCAGAACCGCCGGGAAACTGGCTGCGTGGAAGTCCTGCACCAGAGGAGAGAAGGACGCATGGAGGTGGGAGGGCTGGAGGCGGGATGGGCTGGCCCGGCTCCCACGTGAGCCGCCTTTTTAATTGGGAGGGAGATCCTCTCTGCAGAGGCCGCCCATGAGAAGCAGGGATCCCAGCCCCCCAGCCCAGGGTTCCAGAGCTGGTAGAAAAGTCCCGGTAACTTCAGGCCATAAAAACCAGCAGGAATTTTGGCCCAGTGACACAGGCTGCTGGAATCCCACTGTTCCTCTTAAAGAGCCCGTGCACTGTCCCGCTTCTGAGATCCAGCACTGGGGAACCCTGACACATACGGGGAGAAACTAGATTGTCCGGCATTGGGGCAGGAGAGCCCCCAAACAGCACGAGCTGGCACTGAGAGTGTGGCCGTCCCCAAAGATGGGGGTCGCAGAATGGGAACCCAAATTGAGGCATGCATTCTGAGGAACCCATGTGTATCCCCCCACCCTGTTTCCCTTGGAAAGTCCAGGGCAGGTTGGGCTTCCAGGACCCTATCCTCCCTCTCCCTCACCCTCTCCCTCTCGTTCTGGCTCGCCTGTGTCCAGCCACACCTCCAGGCACGGATGCCAGTCGCACCACAGAGCCCACCCCCCACGCCAGGCTGGTGCGGAAGGGGACTCAGTAGTACCTGAGGAGTGTGCCCAGACCACAGGCTCCGAGCCTCGGGAGCCTCTTACCCAGGGCGAGAAGGTTCTGGTAGTTCTCCAGCATCACGTCCCGGTACAGGGCCCTCTGAGGAGAGTCCAGCTGCCCCCACTCCTCCTGGGTGAAGTCTACGGCCACATCCCTGAAAGTCACTGATTCCTGGGATGACACACATTCTCAGTCACCCAGGGCGGGAGGGATTCCAACTGGGTTCCTGCTTCCAAGGGAATTAAGGGTTAACCTTGGTGACCTTCTCCCAAGCCTGGAAGGTTGTGCTTAGACGTCATCTGTCATACAGTCCCACGTACACACCACAGCTGGACCAGGAATCACCATCTGGACCTGGCTTTCTGGACCCAAAGGGCCCAGCTAACTGGGCAGCCGCTGTGCCTGCCACGACGGACAGAAAGCTGCTGTGAGGAGTTCTGGGTAAGAATGTCAAACAGAGAACTTGAAAGAATAACACAAAGAACCCAGAAACCCCGTGCAAATCTCACCACTGCCAAAGGCTGACCCTAAGGAAGCAAACCCTGTGCTTATCAGCAAGTTCCGAGCCTAAGAGACCAAAGGAGCCATTCCATGTCCTTCCTGCCTGCCCCTCCCTCCTTCCTACTGACCTCTGCTCCCTGCCCTCCCCAGGCACATACAGGGAGGAACTGGACTGTCTGGCTTCAGGGCAGGAACTCAGGGGTGGCTCTCACCCAGATGGGGTGCTCACAGGGGTCACTGTTCCTGTGGTGAGACCTCCCCTGTCGCAGGGTTGACTGGCACCCATATCTGAGTCTCAACCAGCCTGGAGCACACTGTTTGCTCCGCCCTGGGGATTCCCTGAGTCCTGCCCCATCCAGTCTGCAGCCCCATCCAAGCTGTTTGCAGCAGTTTTTCCATATGAATGTCCTGTCCTGGCTCAGGCTTCAGACTTTGCTAAAAATCTCTCAAACAAGCTGCAGCTGGTGACAGCATGCCCCAAACCCATCAATAAAAGGCCTATGACCAGCACTAGCACGAGCCAAGCCTGCCTTGCTTCACAGCTGGGCCTTGCCTCCTGCACAGCAGCTCTCCCACTGTCTTTGCAGCTGGTCCTCACAGCCAATTGGCCTGGAGGTCACCTCCTCCCAGAGACGCCAACAGCAGCAAGGCTCAACTACAAGGCTGTGCACACAGCCCACACAGAGGCACCCTAGAGCAGCGGTTGCCAACCTTTCAGACCTCACGGTCCACCAACCGTGGACCACTGGTTGGTGGCCACTGCCCTAGAGTGCCCAGCTCAGGTGACAGGAGGCCGAGCCAAAAAGCTAAAGGAGTTCACCACCACCAAACTAGTATTATGTGAAATGTTGAAGAGAGGAGGAGCCCTACCTGGCTTAGCTCAGTGGATAGAGTGTTGGCCTGCGGACTGAAGGGTCCCAGGTTCAATTCCGGGCAAGGGCACATGCCCGGGTTGTGGGCTCAATCCCCAGTGGGGGATGTGCAGGAGGCAGCCAATCAATGATTCCCTCTCATCATTGGTGTTTTTATCTCTCTCTTTCCCTTTCCCTTCCTCTCTGAAATCAATAAAAATATATATATTTTTTAAAAAAAAAAGAGAGAGAGAGGAGGAAGAGGAGAAGGGGGAAGGGGGAGGAGGGGGGAGGAGGGGGAGGAGGGAGGAGGGGGGGAGGGAGGAGGGGGGAGGAGGGAGGAGGGGGAGGAGGGAGGAGGGGGGAGGAAGGGGGAGGAGGGAGGAGGGGGGAGGAAGGGGAGGGGGGAGGAGGGGAGAGGAGGAAATAAATATGAGCAATAAAATGGTAACAAATACTTATCTATCAATAATCAAATCTAAAAATTAAGTAAATGAACAAGAAATCTAATGAGCAAAATAACCTGGTGAATAAAATAGAATCAGAGGCATGGAAGCATGGGACAGACTGACGAATCTCAGAGGGAACGGGGGAGGAGGGGGTGGGAAGAGATTCACCAAAGATCTTGCCTATGGACACAGTCAATAGGGTGGTGAAGGCCTGGGCAGGAACCGGGTGGAGCGGGGCAAAGGGAAGGAAAAAAGGGGGACATCTGTAATACTCTCAACAATAAAGACGTAAAAAAATAAAATAAAAAATTAGCCTGCTCTATTTGGTCAAACATTTAAGTAACTCACCCCTAATGCCTTGGCAGGGCCAGACCAAATGATTTCGAGAGCGTTATACGGCCCGTGGGCCAGACGTTCCCCACACCTGGCCTAAGCTAAGAGAATTTTCCTTTCTGTTCAACAGGTCAGAGTCCCCTTTAATACAAAACACACACACACACACACACACACACACACACACACACACACACCTGGTGATCCTGGAACATGTGTTGTACTTCCTGTGCCTTCTGGAAGCTGAGGGTCACGTGCAGCTGGGAACTGTGCACTTAGCAGCCCTGCATGAGCATCTCGTCAGGCTGGCTTGAGGGTTAAATGTCCCAAGTGCAGCATTGACAGATTACTGGTTTTATTACCAGACTCATTAAGTCAAGAGAAGAGATAGGAACACCCCAGGAGATGGTGGCCTGGGGTCAGGTGTCAACGGCACCATTTCCCCACTACACCCCCTTCTCTGTTCCCCCTAACGGAAGCACATCCCTGCCCACAAGGACGGGGTATCCTCTCCTTGATCATCTCCATGCACAACCCTCCTGTCCACATTGCTCTCGCGCTGTTTTCTTCACCTGAAAACACTCTCCAACACCCTCAAAAGCACAAAGGAGCCCAGCTGGCGTGGCTCAGTGGTTGAGCGTTGACCAAGAGGTCACGTTTCAATTCCCAGTCAGGGCACGTGCCTGCGCCTGCGTTGCAGGCTTGATCCTTACCGTGGGGCGTGCAGGAGGCAACCAATCAATTCTCTTTCATCATTAATGTTTATTATCTCTCTCCCTTCCTCTCTGAAATCAATAAAAATATATATTTTTTTAAAAAGCAAAAATGAAATGCTCTATTTCGCCCACACATCTATTAACTGTGAAATAGCCACCTACTATGCGCACCCTCAGTTGTAGTGGGGATACAGTAGGCAGGACCACCCATTGCTCTAAGACCTCATGGTACAGGGCCTAGAAGTCATGAAGAACTAAGAATGGTAAGGTCAAGGAGGGGACTGGCTTCCAGTGGTCAGGGGCTGGGAGGTCGTATCTGGGGGGAGCAGGCAGTACAAAAGGATAGCCTGCAGCACCCGTGGCTGCCTGAGAATCCAGGAGCAGAATGGGTGGCTGGGGTGGATGCCAGCGGCTTCCAGTGGGGAGCATGGGGACCTGACCCAGCACAGTGACCCCAAGT